ATCATAGCTTTTCTTCCAATAAACACATTGGTGTTCATTGTGTTTTTGATGATATTATGGGTTTTGGGTGTGAGTGTTAATATATATATATGAGAGTTTATCTTCTCTACAGTCATACTGTACACTTTCTTCTTTAGTCCTAACGTTTTTTATATTCATACGAGGAGCATATTCCGATAATAATGAATAAAAATCTTCAGAAAATTCATGAAACACAACAAAATCATATATAGCGATTATCTGATAATAATTAGTAAATATATGTACGAGGCAAACGATGAAAGAAAGAGAAAAATTAATGCTTGCTTAATTATCTTTTGCACGAATATGACAAAATCTATAGCATCTATTGTATCTAAATCAGATACTAAATCCATAGTTAATGGATTATCCGGCAGTAAGCAAGTGACATTTAAATGTAAATGACGTAATACAAATAAAAAAACACAACACATTATACAAATAGTCATTACTTAAATAATTCAAAAATGATCAGAGATAATCTTTTTTCTTGCAACAATACCAATATTCATTTCATATTCTTTCAGAATATATTTTATGCTTCATAGTCTTTTTTGTCATTCATATTTAACTATTATTGTGTTTCTCTTTTCTTTGATAAAATTATTTCATATTGAATTCTATCCATAGTTAACCTTTCTTGTTGGAAATATTAAAATAATAACATGAAGAGCGTATTATAAGTTGATAATCATTGAATGATATTGTTTTTTCTATCTTCTCATTGTTTACAATATTGCCTATTGATTTGAAATTACGAAGATAACGTGTGAGAGTGTGATGGGGATGACGATCTGTATGCAAGTATGAAAGAAGATAATACCAATGGGTACACCCATGCCCACACCAATAAGGTAAAGAGCAAAAAGAGAATATACATCGAAGACTATATAATCTAACGTTATCGTCACATATCATAATAAACAGCTCTTTTCGTAATATTATTATTATGATATTAGTTGAAGAATGATTAAATATCACAGAAAAATAGAGCATTGTTATGATTATCACTGCACTCGAAGAAAAAAAATCTTTCAAGCTTTCTATACGGAACTAAAGTACCTTCAGAAGTGCTTTTTATTTTTTTGAATTTCTTGACGTATTTACGAAATAACGCAAGTTGAAGATCGACTAGGTTGTCTTGCTGGTATAGCTCGAGAGTTGAATCGTTGAACTGGATCGAAGTAGTTTTGACGCATCCATGACATCTTATACGTCATTATTTCTTTCACATGCTGTGTTTGACCAGCCACAAAAATTGATTCAACAACCAATAATTGATGGCGAACTTGACTTATTTCATAAAACCTGTTTCCTAAATCATCACACAACTACCGTCACACGCACACCCACACAAATAATATCAATTATGCGATAAATCACTAATCTAATTTGTGCCTTTTAAATAAAATAAAAACAAAAACAAACTCTTAAGTGTGTGACTTTGAAATGAAAATTTAGCGATGAGAACGCCTGTCAATCCTAGTAAACATGAAATCAGGTGACTTTTAATTAGAGATGTAATGAATGACGGAGGGTAATATACAGAATCAGAAGAATTTCGGACGATGTCCTCCGATATTCGTATTATATTAATCCATCTCTACGACATGTGTCAAAAGAACTTTTTAAATTCTGTGAAACAGAAGTTTAAAATTCAGTTAGATCAACAGATTTGATATTCTTTAAAATACTTATGATTTGAGCTCAAATAAAGCAACATGTTTGAATATTTAATCGGTGGATTAAAAAAAATTCATGATGATCATATTGAAATACTTACATAAACTCGTTTTGATTCATAATTCATTGATATGTGATCTATCTAAAAGAAGAGTCTGTGTGAGTTTAGGTAGAAACAGTAGTCAGAACCACATCAGCACCCCACAATCCACACCGTTGTTTTCGATTGAGACTTTCGTTCTTTCAAGAAGTTGAATTCAAATGAGATATGAATCCTCTGAAGATTCTCTTACGAAAGATCAAAATCGGCTAGGATCGGTGTAAACTTATCCACACAATTACAAACCACTAGAAACTCAATCTATCACTGTATTGACAACATTATAAATTCAACTTTGTTTCGATTGTTTTTTGAATTGAAATGAATACCATCTGATGATCCTCGTTACTGAGGTGAAATATAGCATTATGGTGTGCTCGACACACCCGCATTCTCTCTTGTCTAGAGAGTTATACTTCAAGAAAAAGAATGCAATATTTTAATTGAAATATCCTTTCTGTTTTTTTTTCAATATATCAATAAAACGAAATCGCAATTCATTCAAGCGCTCGTGAGTTCTGTAGCATTGTGCGAGAAAAAGTAAGTCATGTGACTGAATTTTCATGTATTTTATAGAAAAAAAAACAAACATTCTTGTTTTAACGCAAATGGGATTATCATTCGTTCCATCAAAATATTTTTTCCAATACGAACGATAATGCATAAACAGTGTGAAAAAAATTCTGTCGTAAAATGATTCGAACAAACGACAAATAAGTAGTATGATGAAATGTCTGTAACAATTGTAAGACCTATTTCTCTTTTGGAAACTTCAAATTTGATAAGGTATTATTTATTCAATTTCAGTTTAACTCATTGTTCATCGATTCATTTAAAGCTGAATCGGAACATAACTAGCATAACAACTGTTCAAAATGTCAAGGTGGATTTAGAATCGATTCCTATAGTATTAAAAACTGTGTATGTGTTTTCTTGATCCTATTTCGTCCGTCTTATATGAAGAATTTATGTTCTAGAAAAGAACGAGCGCATGTGATACCAAAATCTTGCAAAATTTTACTTGTCGCAACAATCTTGACAACTTTGGCGGTTGCAATTGCTGTACCAGTTATTTATTTCATTTTAAAAGGATAGTATTTTATTTTTATTAATTTAGCAGATTTGTGTAAACCTCAGATATATTTTCGAAGAAAATAATAAATTTAAGTTTTAAGTCGAAGTTTTGTGTTCTTCCTTCATACACACTTAACCACCAATGACAGTAAATGTCAGACTCTTTTTCAAGAGTTTCTTAGCGAGGAACAAAAGTGATTAACACAATTAAAGAAAAAGACTTCGAATGTTCTACAGAACTCTAGAACATTCCAAAGTCTTCCTTCATATCTGAATGACTAACATACATATGCGAATAGTCTAAATAGTGCAGTTTTTTATTTTTGCATAGATAAAAATTCATATTTAATTTGTCAAGAATAACAAATAATCAATATTAGTTTTTGTGAACTTATCGAAATATATAATAGTGCATTGAGACTTGCTGTAGATATAATAGATATGCATAAGAGCAATAAAGTAAATGGCTAGAATAATAATAATAATAATGATGTTAAACTAAGAAAAATAATGAATGAATAGTAGCAAGACAAACAAAAAGTAGAACGTCAGTAATAATTAGAAAAAATTTCTACCCAACATGCAGCAATAAATAAGACGAATTGCTTCTCTGCTGATCGATTGTCGTGGAAAACCATTAAAGTCTTCGAGAGGTTTTTCACTTGTTGCGTTTTGCATTAGTATAAGGAGACTAAAGAACACACGTGATTTTGACATTTCAACCTCAACAAGGCCAGACGAACAAGCTTTTTTGGTAGTAATTGATCTATTAGCGTTCTTATTTCTCTATATAGTAGCAAATAAGATAATAATTATGCTTAGGTAATGGAAACAAAAGAATGAACTTCATCATCTTTATTTTTCGACGATAAAACATGATTAGATAGTATCTTTTGGATATAAACAATTTTATCTGCTCATTTGAGAAAAAAGCTTATCATTTTTATTTATCTTGATTTCAGAAAATTCAAGATAAATGAACATTTGTTAACTTAATATAAATTCAACAGCGTTAGCAATACTATGTCTTCATCATTTTTGGTGAAGATAAATATCTTAGTTGACATGAGAATTTAATTGAGTTTGAAATTCCTAAACAGAAGAGAAATATCACGTTAATCGTATTAGTCATTGAGTAATGCATATTTGTGTATTATTGTCTTCAAGTTTTGTAGTCATAAAGATTTTGAATTATTGGTTGGTTTATAGTAATTTATTTTGTATCGTTTTAATAATTACAGAAGTTATTTTTTTATTTATTTTTGTGTCGATTTTTTTCCAAATAAAATGAATATTTTAAATTCTAAACTCTAATCTTGAGTGTAAGCGTGGGTGTGAATCAATGAGAATGAAGAAAGTACTCCATATCTATGCAACACCCTTCTCCATTTTGCGATCACTGCAGAATATTCTATAACTTCATTCGATAAAATCGACACATTATAAAAGATTTGAGGATGCGTTTAACTTGATGAGTTCGAGAAAATTTTAAAAAGACCAGGAGGCTGTATGTTCTGCTTCAGCTGCAAGACACGCGTGAAGAACGAAAAAAAAATATGTTGATGCTACGAGAAAAATATTCGTAACGATTTTTACTGACGGATAGAAAGTAAAAGAAAAAAAACCTGATGCACTGCTGCGCATATCATGCATAAGTGCAAGAATATCTTCGTTCTCCCCTAAATGTTGTTTTTTTGCGTATCTGGACGTCATCAGAACGATTGATTCAGTCGCAAACATGTTGTTTATTGAAAGTCACATCTGATATCATTTGATTTTTTATTCAGCAGCTCTTGAAGTCTGCGTTGATCTAGTATACCTTTTTTAGAAAGTTTTAAAAATGACTGAAGTACTATCTGAACGCAGTAAAATTCATAGTCAAAAATCTACTTCTAATAATGTGGATTATCATGAAATGGTACGACATTGCTTAAGGTTGCTTTCGAACTACTTGGCTTTGGTCCTTGTCATCAGATGAGCGAGTTATTTGAGAAACCTCAGCAAAGCATTTTATTTACAAGAGCATTTAGATGTACGTGAAATCGACTTTCATTAATTAATGAGAGGATACTAATCATCAGTCGACATTCCAGCAGCCATATCTCACAAAGAACTTCATCAAATGTATCCTAAAGCCAAAATCATACGTACAGTACATAACAGTAGTGAAAAATGGTTTGAAAGTTTCAAGAACACAATTGAACCTGTAGGCTTTGATATTTTTTATTTTATTTCCGTTTATTCTATTCGAAATTTACGACTACAATGTATTCTTGCTGGGAAATTGTTTAAAAAGAGTATTACTGAATATGGTGAAATCGAGCCTAGACTCTACGATCTTTATGATGCTCAACGAATATAAACAAGAGCTACTCGTATTCAATGTGAAAGACGGATGGGCACCGCTATGCGAATTTTAAAATGTGTCAATTCCAAAAGATACTCCATTTCCACATCTGAACGATTCGAAACATATTTAAAAAATGATTTTTGCAGCTCAAGCCGTGGAATTAGCTGCTTGGGCTTTGATTGTTGTAGCAATAGCTGTTGCGATGAAGTTTCTTTTTTGATTGATTGATTTTTAATAATTCTAAAATTTTTATAAACAGGTGACGTAGAAATAATAATCGATCATCATTATCTTAATCAATATACATTCAACTAATCCGCTTTTTCGCAAGTCCTCATGTTATTTTAGTGAAATAAACCAGCTATACACTATTCGAACTATACAGTTCTATCGTTACTTCATTTTCCTGTTTAAAAGAAAAAATCTGAACAACTCCGAAAAGTTGTATAGTATGAATGTTTAATGATTGTTTGTTGTCGTTGGGTAAGGGAATGTGGATACTCCTTATCATCGATACCCACAGCCTTATCTGATTCATAGAGAAAAATGAATGTTTGTTGCAAAATATTTTATCTAAAAGCCTCAGATTTCTTATCAAATCGTTCATTATTAATATGAAAAATGCACATGTCTTTGAATTGTCAAAACGAACGTCTTTTGAGAATGAAGAAAGAAAATACTTGACAACATTTAGTTAGCTTTTTATATGTATATTGTAACTAATTATTTGTTTTTCAACAATATATTATATATAATTTTTGATCGACTTTGAAAGATATTTTTTGACAGTTTACGGAATAAGTTGGTAATATTGTATTTAATATTTCTTTAATATCTAATATTATCAAATTTCAATTAAATTGCTAAATAAAAAGTCATTCTTATTGATTCGCATTTAATTAAATAAAATGCTTGTTCTTATTTATAAAAAAAAAAAAAAAAGAACTTTTATACAAAATGCAATGTAAATCTCTCTCTATATAATAATAAATAAAATGGTTGCATTACTAATCAATAACATTATACCAAATATGTGGACTATTCATGAGAATATTTAACCCTCATTTGATCTGATTTTTGAATCGATGAAGCGTATCATTATGAAAAAATACTGTATAAATAAATAGTCAATACTCAATCGTCACGTGTCTTCAATGTTGATTCTTTATTTTCAAACAAGTATATTGTTTCTTGGACTTGTGATCTATTAATAAAATTTCTATTTTATTAAAACAATTGTTAATTAAAATAAATATACAAATGGATTCAACTATCAGTGAATATTGTACAAGAATATCTAATCAAAGACAAACAATATTAGCTGAACAACTTAAACCTTTATTTGATTTGATTGTTATTGAATTAAATAAAAATAATAATGATAATTCAACAATTGATGATGATTATTGTAAAATAATTGATACATTAAAAAATCTTCATCGTTTAACTTTAATCGATCAATTAATTGTTAATAATGAAATTTTTTATTTAATACAAAATATCTTAGTAAATATATTAAATAAATGGTTGAAAGATAATATTATTTTAACTGATAAAGATAAATATTTATTTCGAAATATAGTTGATCTTTTTTCTAAAATGATTGGACATTTAACAAAAACAAATCAAGTTTCAGTATCAAATTTTAAAACATGGTTTTTAAATGAACCGTTTTTCAAAACAATAGCTTCAGTATTAGAAGATATATCCATAAATTCTTATAAATATGTAGATGATGATCAAAATATGGAAAGTTTAAGTATGTTGATAGAATCAATTCGATGCTTTCAAATTGGTAATGATCATATTAGAAATAATCCTAATGTATTATTATTAGTTGATCCTTTAATAAAATGTCTTTGTTCTTCAACTTATATTAATACATTAAAACAAATTGATATTAAATCAACTGATCGTAGTGCATTTGAAGATTTTATTCTCGGAACATGTCCATGTTATGGTGCTTGGAATAGAGGAAAAGCTCAAATAATAATAATAAATGCATTATGTTTAAATAATATGTTAGCATCTTATGAAGAAATATATGATTTATTTTTATCAACAATTAATGATTGGGAATATGCTTTAATGGAATCAATTTACTATATGACAGCATTATTACGTTATGTTGCTTTTTATTCTTCAACACGAGAATATTTAAAAATAAATTTAAAAATACTTGATTCAATGTTAATTATATTAAATTCAAATTGTTTATTAGATAATATATTAATAACAACAGATTATAATTCCGAAACAAATTTAACTGATTCAGCTATTTCATTTATATTTAATTTAACACATGATTTTGAAATGTTAACAATAATTAAAGAGAATTCATTTTTTTCAAAAGAAATATTTTTTAAATTAAAAAATTCACAAGTTGATCGAGTTAAATTACATGCTTTAATGATTTTATCTAAAATACTTAATGAACAAGATATTTTAAATCTAGATCATATTGATACATTAACATCAATTTTTTTTGATTATTTATCTAGAGCTATGAATGATCCATGTCATACTTGTCAAGATGTTCCTGTTGAACATTTATTAGCATCTTTAAAAGGTATGTTTTCCTTGATAGAAAATATCAACGAGTTAATATTTACTTTTTACTGATTTGTAAACCAAATTCACAATTTTGTGAAACACGACCTGAAAGAAGTGTTTAGGGTAGAAAATTTGCACCCCCCCCCCCCCCCCCCCCGCCCAGGGTGTCAGGGGTGCGGAGCACCCCCCCCCGCGCCATCCGCCCCCCTTTGCCCGCTCTGCAGGAACCCANGTGGACCTGGGCTACAGATAGGGTTTCAGGGTGTCACAGACAACCTCCAGAGATCATTGCACACTGTTTCAGACGTCTGCAATAATCTATCACAGGTGACATTTAACCAGCATCTAATTAAAATATAGATGAAGTCTTTTCGTGTTGAAACGCTATGCTGCATAGTATATAATGATCACGAAATGTGGATTACACGGCACTTCCGCGCAGCGACACCACCGCGCGCGACACTTCCGCGCTAAATGAAGTTTTCTATTTTTTCTGTGTTAAGTTAATACATCTTCTAAAATTTTATTAATTATTCTGCTAGTGAGGCTGCTGAGTTTCAGTGTGAGTGTTGAAATGGAACGAAGGCAACAGGGGCTCTAGTGCCTGCAACCACATCCCAACATCCAAATTCACTCCAGAAACCACATCTGAATTCCAGGTCCACATATGAGCGCACATCCACATCAAGCCACACGCGCACTTCACAGCCTGAGTCCACACCCACAGTCACATCGATACCTGTAATGCCANCTTTTACAAATCTATTGTACAATCTATTAGGGCTCAAGGATCCACTTGGATCCACTTTTGTCTGTTGGTCAAAGGGTGTCAGAATTTAAAGCCATCTGATACTGTAGTCTCAATTCTTTTTTTTCTATAGCAAGCCCAGAAGAATCTCTCAGAATCCTGAATCTGAAGATTTCTGTTCTGTTTAATTCAGAATCCTGCTTCGAATTGTAGTAGTACAGACTTGCATGATGTCTCTCTTTGAAAAAGGATCCTTTTCAAGATCTCTTCAAATTCCTACATTGATTTGGTATCATATAAAAATGAAAGATCCTACTAAAATTCGCACTTGATCTCACTCCAGACCTTGATATGAATAGCAGATGGAACTTTGCTTAGGTATTATCAAGATTTTACGAGCAGATATTTTGGATCTCTGTACCATGATCTTTTCCTGACTCAAAACTAAATCAGGTAAGAATCTTATGAAGGATAATACAAGAGCAAAGAGAATCCTGAAGTGGTGGATTCTGGCAAGGTTCAATCACAATTCTATCTCATTTTCTTAGGCATGACTGTCACGAATAGCTCTTCTTGGAGTTTCCAGGATTCTCTTCAGATCTATTCATGGACAAGCATTTCGAATTCCTTCGAGAGAAGGTTAAGAGTGGCCAGGATCTTTCCGAGAAAATATCATGGTTGAAAGAAGATCTTGAGGTTTCACTTAGAGTCTGCTCAAAGCTTGATCTTAAAAAATTTAGCACGATTTACGACTGATCTGGTTCAGGACTTTGAAAAATAAATTATGAAACGGTTTCACAAAAATTTTAACTAATTCCTATTTAAGATTTCTTGAAGATTTTCGAACTTATGAATCGCAAGAAATTACGCTGTTTATGTTAATTAAAACATTAACAGCTGCAAAAGGAAAAACCACTCAAGATGTTAATTTGTGTTTTGTTCCGGTTTTGAGAGGAATCTAAGAGTTCAAAGACATATCTGAACTTTATTCTAATGTTCACTTGTACATTCAACGATTCTTCTTCAGATCTTTTGAAGATTTGTATTGAACATGATATGACATTCACGGCAAAGAACCCAGCTATTTTTTAGATTGTATTTTCACATAAAACTTGAAAACTCATTAGGATGGAGATTTCATTATCAGTTTAGCTGTTGCACTAACTTTTTCTTTAAACAACCTTTTCGAGTAAAAGATGAGTCCTTTATAAAAAAAAAAGCTTACATTGTATTTCATTTATTCGTTTAAAGAAATCAGAAAAATACTTCTTTATTCAAACTGAAATCAACAAAAAATAATACAATTTCATGATCAGTAATAAATATATTAAATTTAATACTGAAGATTTCAAATTTCACTTGCAATAAATTATAGTTGCATAGTTCAAGCAAAGGTTAATATGTCAGAGAGAATTTATGATATCGAAGGTTTCAGTGAAATTCAATAACATATTATAGTCTATTGCGGCAAACTGATCGGTTTGTAAACTGAAGATGTAGAGATCAATACTCTCTGTCTTCATTTTTCCTTTTTTTTTCTTTTCAGAGCATTCTGCAGAGATCCTGACAGAAAATCTGATAACATCCTTTAAGAATCATAGTAGAATCCTGCAAGGTGCAATCCGAATATATTTTTCAATTAGAAACCATTGAAATTTTGTAAAGATCTTGACACACAATCAACGAGAACGGACTGAGAATGCCTCTCAGATCTTGCTCTAACTTAACAAAATCGTGTTTATTTCGTGCGTACCAATTTTTCTACGAAATACTCGCTGCCTTCACTTATTCCGTGTTTACATCGTATTGGTAATCTACTCAGAATCCTTACAGAATACTTTTGTGAATCTTGTCGAAATATTCAAATTCTGTTGCTACACCCCTTTCGCAAAATGTCATAGCTTCTTGAAAGATTAGAAAATGATAACAAACTACTTATTATCTTTATTGCATCACGATACAAATTCGATCAGTACCTTAAAATTTCGTGGTTAAGTGCCGTTTTCTCATTTTCTCGTTCCCCCACAAAAAAAAGGGAATTTGTGCAACATCCTTGTGGCATTTGCCGGAGATCTAGCTCAAAAATAGAAGGGATTTGCTTTATCGAAAATGCAACACTATCTATTACAATCTATTGAAATCCACAAGAATTCAGTAGAAGCTAACAAGCTTCATAATAATCTGAAACCAATGGGGAAAACCTGGATCTTGATACATTATATTCGTTCGTATAAACTATAGAATTCATTCAGATAATCAAAACTTCATCACCAGCCACCAGAATTTCAGTCTTCAAGATTTCATTTTTCTCGCTTTTTAGAGTTTTAAAAATGCTGCGGCTGATTCTTCATCTTTTTACTTTGTTTCCATGCATTCTAATGAAACCACATGGACTCGAATAGATAGTGCGATGAATCAGGGTCCCTTTTTCCTTTGTAAGTGAGACTAGTCAAGGTTGTATAAAAGACGCATGATGATCGCATTGATTCATTCAGAACATGTTTTGAATTAAACATTCTTATTTTATGAATCTCATTGATTTTCTTGCTTTTGTGGATATTCAAAAAATCAATCTACGTTGATAGATCGAAAGCAGTTTTGATGGATCCCGATGGATCCTAGTGGATCCTGATGCATCCTGATAGATCCCATGGATCCTGGGATCTATCAGGATCCACCAGGATCTGCTTTTCCCCCCTTAATTTGAACTATGTTTTGATATAATTTGACTTGAGATTATTCTGAAAATTGATCAAAATACTCAAAGGAAAAAGTGTTGATCCAAAAGCATCTAAAAAGCAATTTTCGTCTTAACGAATTCTGTACTGGTCGATGCTTCGGACATTGCTCCTTCAAATGATTAAAACCGCAGATCTATATCTTGTTTCTATCAAAAGCTATTCGAAAAATAGTGAGGTGCCTTTTATTTTGAAACGGACAGGATTAGTATGCCATACAAATTCCAGCTTGTTTATTGACCCACGAGAAAAGTTGATAGTTTCGTTATGACTGCAAGTCTCTGATATCTAGAGACCTACATCGAATGTCGAAACACGGTTCTGACTCCGTCGGTGTCAATAAACAAAGTTTTTCTGCGGTCGGAGTCGATGCAAGTTATAGAAACTCCGAAAACGGTATTGCATTTTTTTTTCACAATCGTCACTACTTGTTAACAAGAACTTTTAATCCAATAGCTAAGTAACATCCAATTTAAAATTACAAAAAAAAAGCAAAAAACCTACACACTAGATTAACTGTTACAACTGATGATTGCGAAAAAAATGTCAGTATCATTCAATATCACCACTTTCTTCATGTGCTTTTTTAACTACCAATTCACTTCAATGTCTTGACATAATTGAAACTGGATCAAATTTCATCTTGTCGTTCGTACCTTCTTGATTTGATGAAATTCTTTCAATAAAACTAAGTTTTTTCTTAAGAAACATGAGCTGATTAAGATTTTCCGGGTAATTGAAGACAAAGTTGGAAATAAACCTTGTAGTTTATGCCAAAAATCTAAAACATCAATATCTTCTTCATCGTTATTATTAGCAAAGTGAAAATCCTGATTTAAATTAATAAAATTCGGAATTTTTTCGGAGTCGGAGTCAAAAAAACGTGACTCCCTAGGTTTCTACCAGAGATGTTGGCAGGTTGACCCGTTTTCATGCAACCTGTCCGACCTGTAACCGGCAGGTGGGTTAGACCTTTGACGAGTTACTGGTTTACGGGCTGGGTGTTTTTTGCGTTTTACGGGTTTCACGGGTCAGGTTATATTTTTCTATGTACCGGTGTGTTCAACTTGGTTTAACCCGTTTGCAAATTTCATTCGTTTCATCTTTCATTCTTACCTTCTGCTTAGGTTCATGTTCATTATTCACACTATTTCTTCGCTCTTCCACTAGCCTAGTTGTTCTTACTATTTCTTTCGTTCTGCAGCACCTAGATTCATTCTTTGTATTTTGTTTTTCATTATATGAGCCTTCTAGTCATTTACCTATTTATCTTAAAGTCGATACACATGATGGATGACGCAAAAGTTCTGTATTGATTTGGTCTTGATCTAGTGCTATGATTGAACGTTGGCGAGATTTATTCTTTTTTAGAAAGATCAAAATGCTTAATATGAAAATTCATGAAAGAATTCGATTAGAATTGTTTTTTCAAAGGTCAGAAATATTTTAAAAGAAAAAGTCTCAGAAAAATCTTCTACAACGCTTTTGAAAGTACAACAAATGTCACCGAATTACTTAGATCGATTAAATATTTATTTGTTGTATGTGAGTTGTACAAGTTAGGTATATAGCACTGTTGTCGTACAAAAAAAGAAACTCTTTGTTTTATAACGATCAAAATAAACGCTTTTACGATGTCCTCTGGTATCAATGTTTTTCACTTCTAGCAATTACAGTAGAAAAAATGAAGTCTATTCCTAAAGATAAGTTGTCAGAAGCTATAAATTTCATATAACAAAAGAATACTATTGAGTCCTCTGACAAATGATATTATTTGGAACCAAAATGGAAATTTTCTACGTGAGATATTTAGTCATACATTCTTTTGATTTTTGCAAAATTTCAAAGCGACCAAATAAAATTTTTTGATCTCGTCGTCTGCTATCAACTCTCTTATGTGCTAGATTAATGTCTTAACGCTAAACGAAAGTCTTTATTATAATGAACAAATTTACATACTTGGTGTTTGAAAAATCTACGAGTGGATAATAAAAAAGGCTTAAAGAAATATATATTGTGATAAAAAAAATTAAGACCAAAGCTACGGAACAGTTTTCCAAAATCTTTTGCTTTCGAAATATTTCTATTTTTTGAAAAAAATTTAATCAAGCTCTTGCATGATTTTTTGAACTAGGCTGTTTACTATATCTAATTAAACAAAAAACAATAAAGTACGATGCTCTATCGCAGCGATATATCAAAGAAAAAACTATTACACAACTTCTGCACTATCCTTTACACGCGCACTCTTCTCTTGGGGCTCGATTATAGGATATTGGTGAAAACAATAACCACCTCCAAAATATCCTCAAATACATACACTACGGGCAGCTTTCGATCCGTCTCTCGTTTGTACTATTTGCATTTTTGTAGTGACTGGGTTGACAAAAACATGCCATAAATACTTCTATGAACAAATAAATGTCAGATAATAAACAATATAACATTGATCAAGCTATTAACTTTTTCCAACTATCAATATTTTTCTGAATAGATTCTAAATGAAGCTTGAGAAAAGTCATATTCCGACATCCACCGCTAAAAGCTGCAACATGTTCTTATTTCACGATAAACTGCCTATACTAAAAAGATGAATTTATTGTGCCCGAGAATATATGTAATTATATGATTTCATTATTATTGATAAGTACCATAGAACTTCTCGTAAGGTGCTATAATATACTCATTTACCACCATCTGAATGTGGCTAGTATCATTTGTGAAAACAATACATATACATCAGTGTTACCGAATTACGTACCACATATAATAATTCCGGTATTTAAAGAGTTCTGTTGCTATCTATAAAGGTGTACAAACATCATTCACCAATCTGTCACTACATAGAATCGTTCTCTCTGTCAATGCTGAATGACAATATGCGCCTCTTCTCGTTTCTCTTGTCATCATGAGAAAGATAACCAGATGGTGATTAAAACGATATATATTAATAAAATATTGTCAGTTAAACTCTCGATAGAATTCAGTTGAAAAAGTCACATAAATGATCGTGCTCTTGACTACATTAGAAATTTTTTAGCGACACAGAAGGCTCTCAATAGAACAAGAACGTCCGTCTAGAATCGACGAGTGATACATTTTCACTTTCCTCTTGGTTTCAGAAAGAAAAGAGAATGGAACTGTTTTGCTTTTGTTTCTTAAAGAAAGGATGGTTAAGGTATTCTGGTATTCATCTGTTTGTAGAACTAGTATTATCAAGGAGTGGGTGCGGGTGTATGGGCTTGGGTGTGAGTGTTTTCTCCAGAAAAATTCATAAACGTAACTGTCCCAAACAAAAAATATAATCACCCATAATCACATTCATAGCTACATGTTTATTCTGTCTATTCAATAATATTGTCAGTTTTGTTTGTAAAGAAACAAGATATTTCATTTTCTTTAATGTTTGTCATAAGTTGATATTTATTCAATTTTTCATTGCATAATATCCCTACAATTGATTGCTCCCTTATTTATGGCTTTGGTTTTCAACGCCCATAGGATCACTTGTTGTTTTGTTTACTATGAATACAAGTGTTAAGTAATAGTTATAGCTCTGAACAAAACTTTTCTTCTCCTCTTATTCTCTTTATTTTTGTATAATCATATTTTACATCGAATTGATTATGAAGTAGAGATGTGTTCTGTATAAAAGTCGTTTTCCTGTCTTAAGTCTTAGTTGTTGATCGAAATAATCCAATTGTATGAAATCAATACTGATCTGTAAAATATGGATGAGTGTTGAAGTATCATTTTCTCTCAAACTCTTTTGTAAGATTATCTCATGTCTCTTTCTTTATCAAAAATGTATGAAATCGTGTTCCTTAAACTTCATCCACTGAATCCTCCAATGTCAAATAAGACTATCGCGAAACAAATAAATTGTTCTCCAGATGCTGTACATTATTGCCTTGGTTGATAGAAGGAAAACGGAGATCTACTTAATCTACCATGAACTAGTCGGTCATCTGCTACATCAAAAAGACTGATGCGAAAATCGTTAGAATCGTCAAATATGTGCAGAATGTCACGTCGAACGAAATCTTCAACACTTTAAAGAATGACAATATCAACGTTAATGCACATATTGTAATATATCATTTAAGGAAGAGTTATTGAAGTTTTCGATCACCTGTGAAAAAACTCTTACTTGTGGAGGCTCATCAGGAGAAGTGACTACTGTGGGCACAATAGTATAAGCATGACAACTAAGACAATGTAATTCTTACTGACGACAAGACTTGTAAACTTGGTAACAGCAGAAGAAAAGTTTGACGGGTTCCATCTATTACCAAGGCCATTGGTACATTTAAGCATCGTCTCAAGTTACACGTATGGGGCTGCTTTTCAAAGAACACGTTTTGATCAAATTATTGCTTTCTATCAGAATTTAACAAGTGATTTAATGTGCGATCTCTACGAAAACGGTATTCTACAGACTACCTAATATCAATGTTCCGAAGGTACTACAAGTTGTTTTTTTTTTACAAGAAAATAACGATTTACATCTTTGACAAAAATTTCGCAAAGTTACAATTTTTCACGCATAAAAATAGGTTATTTGTAAAATGAAGAATGAATTGTAATCATAACACACACAAATAATTAGATTTTAGAAAAAATGAGGTTTTAAATAAATTCAATATTTTATATACGCATGTTTCAATATTGTTGACTCTTGTATTAGTATTGATCATCATATACATATTTATAACATCTTTTTAGCTGCATCGATCGACAACACAGTAGCTTGACTTGTCAGAACTGAATCGAGCAAAACTTCGTTAACAGTTGAATTTGAATCAATAACTGCATCTCGTATAATATAAATAATAAAATCCATATCAGCTAATTGACGTGTAGTTGATAAAATAACACTTGATGTAGATAAACCAGCCAAAACTACTGTTTTAATACATTGTGAATCTAACAATATCAAAAGTTCAGAATTATAAGCAGCTGATACACGACGTTTTACAAATTGTATTTCATTTGCTTGTGGTTGGAATCCAGGATAAAATTCAGTACCCGGTGTTCCTTCAATAACAAGATTTAATTTTGATATGGCTGAAAGTTGTTTATTTCGACATGAGATTTCCGGATAACCAGGTCGAAATTCAACACGGGAGAACATGATTTGAGTCGACCTACGGACACTGCCTCTCACAGCTTGAAGCCAAGCAAGTGATTGGCTGAGAAAGGAAGTTTTTGCTGCTGAATTTGGCATCAGAGCTACAGCTACCACTTCATAATCCAAAAATAGGAAAGCTGTAGAATCAGAAAATTTTTCAGTAGATGATTTACAATTGCAATGTGCACCAACTGTTACTAATAAGTTGACCAAAACCCATAGATAAATTAGTTGGTCGTCTCTCATGATGCGCTTGTGTAGAAAACAATAGATATATAAGATAAAATGAGAAGAATATTTGTTTGTATGTTTGTGTTTTTTTTTTTAGCTATATATGGACGAAAATCCATGCGCGTAATAAAGAGAAAAAAAGAAAAAATCGTATACCTTATACATAAAGTCGGGCATGTTTTCGAAGGTTAACAAGGACAATTTGCTGTCCTTCATCATATGGGCGTCTACAGTATGAAGTAGATCAGCCCTCATGTGTTCAATCGAGAATATTCTAAAATAAAAACATTAAATTGCTAATTGTAGTTGAAAATATTACAGAAAACCAACACCAATCATTAGTTGAAACTCAAAATGCAATCTGAATAATGCATATATATATATATATATAGCTGCTGCAAATAGCATTTTATTATAATTTCAAATAGATATAATTATATTCAAGGTTTCGTAATTCTTTTTGAATACATCTTTAGAAATGACAATATAAAAGCATACAATGGATTTGTATATGAGAAGAGAGATCAATAAAAAAGGAAAAAAAATGATTAATTATGTTAATTAAATATAAGAACAATCAAATGACATCTAGAATTTTTCTATTCGTTGATAGTACGCGTGATGAGTAATCGAGTGAATAAGAACTGTAAAGTTAGTTATTCGAAACAAGATAAATAATCAGACAATTAATTCTAGTTTCTTGTAGAAGGCCTATTGGAAGACAAGAAATGTGTGTTTTATGTCGTTTATAGCATTAATAAAGACCTTATTTGTTATAATACTGTCTTTTATAAGCATTTTTTCCCCCATCTATTTTCCATGCAAGTATTTCGACTTTTGACAAGTCAAATTTATGCTTGTGTTGTTGAAAATGTTCAGCAAGTTTCATCCCGAATACTAATGATCTCATCTTTGCACGATGTGCCGTCATTTTACTTTCTTTCTTTCTTTCTCTCTGTCTCCCTAATATTTACTCTGTTGCAAGTCTGAACAAGGAATTGAGGATACTAATGTTTTATTAATTTTTGAATCGTCTTTGTCTTCAAGTATTGGCAAAAAAGTTCATTTTTAATTTAAATATCTTCTTTAGACAAAGATGGGATGTTGGTGTAGGTGTCGATAAAAAACAAATCAATACTCATACTAACGCTTACACTCTAATTGAATAGTTCCAACGCAAATTGTTTGTTCTGAACACCGAACGATAATTCGGGTTTCGTGTATGTCTAACTAAAATCGACTAAATACAAGAGTAAGCTAAAATATATCTTTCTTAAACCCGTTCATAGGTTATATTCACATAATTTTATGAGAAAAAGAAATGAAAAGTATGAGAATTGAGCACCATACTTCATTGGCGTAGCATTCGGTTTAATAAATGAAAGAAACTGCATATGTTGAACCAGACAGATCATTTTAAAAAGAATCTGACACTAAATTTTAGATAAAAATTGACTCAAGCTAATGACAACTGTATGAAATGGCAATGAAAAGTAAATTCTGTCATTATACATGATCTATTGTATGTATATGTGTAGATATAAATTAAATATAAAAGCACATGAATATCTAATTGGTCAATTATGAGACAGAATTGTTTCTATTATAGACTCTAGTTTTGTCAAGTAGATTCAATATTTACAGAACATTTAAGCTTGACATACTTTTGTTATTTTTGCATTACAATTACCCAAAGTTGCGATTATTTTATCGAAGTTTGAGCGTAAAAACCATACAAAGCTTGCGAAAATTCACAGTTATTAGAGTTAGTTTCAAGATTTTTAGGCATATTTTCTTTTTTACCTATAGACTAGATGAGAACATTACTCTAGTGAGAATACTTATCAATAGTACTCATGCTAGAATCTGAGTACAACAATCGAGTACTTGTATTATAAAATTGAATGTTTTCCAACTATTCATGATACACTTTTTGTGTACTCTATTGGTTTCTTTTTGTAAAATTCTTATAGGCATATTATCTGTTTAGTATTACTATACTATATGCATTTTATTTAACAAAAAAATTATTAAAAAAAAAAAGCACAGACGTTTATTATGAAAATTGAGGAAATGAAGATATTACATTGTGTTTATAATTTTCGTACATAGAGTATAGACGTAAACTTTTAATTTCTTAGAAAATAAAGAAACAGAGAATAAAAACACATACTGAGAACAGTGCAACATCATTAAATAGAAATGAGCGATAAATTATTCATGAAAGCAAGATATACCATAGCAATAAATGTACTATCTCTATTATTGCGAAAGAAAAAACAAACGAACATTTTAAAATGATAACTAAATTTCATTTAATAATATTTAAAAATATAAATTAGATGTCTTTTGTATGATTCTCATGTATTCAGAATATTGGTTTCTAATTAATCACCTAGTAAAAGTTATTATTTTGTCTTTTGTTTGATTAATTTTCAATATCAATCTGAAAAAACTATACATTAATCTAAAAGTATATGTCATATAAAATTCAATAAATGGGATCTAACGAATTATTGTTTATTTGTTTAAATAAAAATTTAATCTTGCTTGGAAAATGAACGATTGAAAATGAAAAGTCATTTTTCTATTGTTTAAATAATCATTCACGAAAGCCGTATGAATGACTCATAAAAAAAGAACAAATAATAAAAAAGACAAGTCGTTAAAATAGTTCTTCATTTTTTTTATTTAATTATATCACTTTGTCTTTTTACATAATTTCCAATACCAACAGACGCACCCACATTCATATCAGTAACCGCTATTACAACCCATATTGTATAAATGCCCACATCATTCCCTCCACACTCACATTCGGAGTTTTCGATCCTCAAAAGCCAGAATACGCTCCGCAGGCGGTTGCAAAGCGTGTAAAAGACCACTTAAATATGTGTTAGTTTTCTAAAGTACATGAAATTATATTCTCAAGTGGTTTCGTGTTCATCAGAAAACGGAGCACGAAGTAACAAGAACAGTAATACCCTTAATCGACAAGCACGCTTAAACTCATATCCTATATTTCATTTGGACATACTAGTTTCTTTCTTACATGTTTCTATCGTTCTGCTGAACTCGTCCTTCCAAAATTGGGTATGAAAGTTAAAGAATTTTCTTTCCGAACATCATTCTCTGGAAAATACTTTCACCTCATATGATCGTCGACTGATATCAAAACTTCTGCTATTAGAGAATAAAAATGACATCGATTTCGAGAGAGGTATGAAAACTCTCATTGAATCTGATGAGATTTACGTAGATAGAAACCCCAAATATTCCCTTCTAATGAATGAGAAAAATCTAAGCTCTTCAGCTTGCAGAAATCTAAACTTCTTGCAAACATATATACGCATCTGTTTTTATTCAAATGGAATTTTCTTATTTTGCTTTTCTTATGATCAGTAAAAATAGGATTTTTTTCAAGTTCTTTTCCTCAGGTCATCTTAAGGGAAACCTTTCACCTATACTGTTGAAATAAACATTTTTCACAATTAGATGTCCCGTGCCATTTTTCTCCAAAAACCAAAATAGACCTGTCTTTCTTTTCCAAACAGATGTCATCATGAAAGAATCGCAAAGATGCAACAACAAAAAATTTAATGAATGTTTCTCTATTCAAAATAAGTCATTCTTTATATATTCTATACGCAAAATGACAAAGTTAAATTTCCCACAAGAAAAAAAAAAAAGTATGTCGATCGGTTCACTTTCTTGAACCTTTATGGTGTAGCCGATCTAAGACCAACGGAAGCTGGACCATCAGCTGAGATCGAGAAACTTCCTGTTTCAGACTCTCCATGCGTTGTAACAACCAAAATGTATGGGTGTTCGGCTTCGAGGAACGCTTCGATATGAAATTGTAAGTTGATTGCACCGCCATCATCATCTTCAGCGATCAAATTTGCACTTGGATTGGATGGATCAAAAGAAGTATCGTAAAAAAAGCCCATAGTGTCGATTCCACTGTCACTGGTGAATGTGTATGTACCAGATGCAGGTGCAAGAATTTCAATAACCTGATAGTAGTAGTTATACTCTGGATCACGATCGGGTCGATGAAATACCAAGCTGCTGGGCGACAATTCACTCGAAATAGACGATAAAAAGGACGGCTCAGTTAATGCTAGAATAATTCAAATAAATTGCTGTTAAATTAAGTAAAAAATAATCTGGTCATTAATGAACCAACAGTGATCTTCTTCCTTTCAAATGAGATGACTCTAATCTTAGGACTCTTCTTGTTCTCCATTCGCTACGAGACAACTTAAAATAAAATGGGATGGATTAGACACAAGGCGGAGCAAGACTCTGCCCTCTGACTACGACTAATCAATATGAGGACAAACAATGCAGTTATATGAGCTTGCAAAATATCATCAATTGCATCGTTTTTTTCCCTCGTAAGATAAGTATTCTTGATGAACTCACGCATTGTTATTGGCTGACTGGTTGTCGGTGTGATGGATAAAAAATTAGCCGAGTCAGGACCATTGGCTGATACCGAGAAACTTCCCGTTAGTGATTCTCCATGCGTTGTGACAACCAAAATGTAGGTGCGTCCAGCTTCGAGAAAAGCTTCAATAAGAAATTGTGCATGGATGTCGCCACCATCATCATCATCAGTCACCAAATTCTCGGTCGGAACGGATGGATCAAAAGAAGGATCATAAAAATAGCCCATAGTATCAAGATNGTTTCCGATCATTTTTAATCACTACACAGTCATTATTTGTATGCTCAAGGCTTTAAAAGGATTTCTAGTGATTTCTAGTGATTTTCAGTGACTTATAGCATAGAAAGCAGTTTGTGCCTCTTCGCCTTGAATAATATAAATAAAATTGAAACTCTGATGCTACTAGAAATCAGGACATCAGTTTGTTCCCCCTTGATAATCCCTATGGAATTAAAATCTTAAACACGATGTAGCTTCTGTTACTAATCGCAGGATAATTGTTTTATTCTATCTATTGTGAGATACATTTTTGCACCATCGTTTTACATGTCAACGATGTCTGTCAGATGATTCCTCCGACTAAGGCCGAAGAGAAAAAATAATGAAATTATTTAAAAAAATGTAAAGTAGAGATTATGCGGGATGAGTTCCGGTCTCGGTGACTGAAATTAGGATCACAGAAAAGAGAAGGCATTGAAATCGAGATCAGGACTATGAGAAAAAAAATTGTATTAACTAGAACCAAGGGTTATAGTTAAATATCCTATAGTTTTAAGCGAATTATCTTCCAATCAGAACCGAAAAATTTCGTCCCCTGCACATATCTAATTCAGAGCTATAAAATGATGGTATATAAGAAAGTAATAAGTGGTTTGAACGAATCAATGTTGGCCAATTTCTTGGTTATTCAATACAACAATTATTAAATTTTGATTAAAAAAACGTTGGATAGGTAATATTGATTTATGGAATGTGCTCACATATGATACACGGACGAACAACGTTCGTGAGAATGAGGATGTCAGTTTCAGTTTTAAAATTAATTAGTATAATAAAAAGAAAATTTACATTTTATATTTCTAATATAAAAATAAAAGATCTTTCACAATAACATTACAACAATCTATTTTTCTTTATTATACTCATACATTGTCTTTCGACCAAATTCACGTATAACTTTGAACGTCTGTTGGGTAGGAAGGACTGCAAATTTCAACCTCTATACTTCCAATACTCCTTTTACATCGTATTTTACAAAGGAAAATCCAGTAAATTCAATGTTATATCGAGATAAAAATATTTACTTTTAATTTTGATATCATTGATTCTTCATAATCATCGGAAGCACTTAATTGACCTACTAAACGTTTTGCTAACATTTTACCATAGAATTTTTGAAAAACATCTTTGTCTTCAATATAATTAAAAACAATCTAAAATATTCAGATTTATTATTTCTAAAGAATTTTTCGGATAGAAAAAAAAAAAGAACAATGAAAGAATACCATAATTTGATTGAATTTTTCTTCAAGATCAGTTTCTTCAACAGCTTTACTTCTATATAAAAAAAAAAAAAAACGAAAAATAATTAAAACAAATTTTATTATTGTAAATTCATTTTTAAATAAACCATTTTCGAAGTAATGCATCACAATATCGAGCTAATAATTCAGGTGATTTAGTTGTACTACCAGCTGTTTGTGTTACGACATTATTATTGATAAATTTACCACAAGCCTAGAAAATTTTCAACAATAGATATTAAAAAAAAACAATATTTCAAATGAAATTAATTTACTTTATCAAGAGCAGCAGTAAAACCTTGCTCACCATTAAAAGATTCTTGTACAAGTTTTAAGAATTTCTTGTGAATATCAATAACTGTTTCGATATAAACTTTCGGATCCTAAATACAAAAAAAAATAAGTGTATAAAATAAACAATCAATATAAATTATAGATTATCGATAAAGAAAATTTTCGTTAGTATTTAAATTTTTCAAAGCTTTAATTTGAATATTTTTTTTTTTCAAAAAAATTCTGTGCAAAATTCAATAAGAAAAACTTCACTTATGGATAATAGGAAAATCAGATAAGATCAATAGGTACTATAATCTTAAGAAGTCTGATCTCAATTTATTATTTTGATTTTTATAAATGTCTGTTACTTCTTTTTCCTTGTCGTAAATAAAGAAAAAATCGAATGCATCATTTTGTAGAACTCAAATACATGTTCGAAGAAAATAGTTGAGTGTCCAGTTCTTAACAATGAAGATTAAAAACCGATGAATACATTTCCATAGTAACCACAAGTATATATATATATCAATTATTTTAATACCATTGCTACTTGTATAGTTACGTAGGCAAATGCAAGAGGTTTGCATAGCGAACAACATTGATTGAAATTTTAAGATCAAAGAAAGAAAAGAGTATAGAATTAGAAAAACTCATACGGATACACTGTCAATATTTTAGTATTTTCATCGAAATTGCAACATCCCTATCTAGAATTAACTTTCACTAGAGATAATAGATTTTTTTCTTATAGTATATTTTCAATCTTGTCATATATATTTTTTAGCATATCATAAAATCAGTAATATTACGATTTGATAAAAGAAAATGAATTCTTTATAATAAACTAATCAACATTCTATATAATTGTATACATTAAAGAACTCATAATACTCTAATCATATCAAAAATGATATTAAAAAAAAAACCACACTTTGATATTTAGTCAGTAATATTGTTCACTATTAGTAAGTAAAGAAGTCTTTCATTATGTAAATCTTTAACTGTTTCACTTCAATTATTCTTTAAAAGTATCTTTCATTATATAAAAAAAAAAAAAACTTATACTAAATTATATGGTATATGTGAGTTTCATATTTCATCCCCACACAGGCTGTTGTAACAAGCTTTTGTAGTCAATGAAAAGTTTTATCAATTCAGCGAATATTTTTTTCTAACATATTATAAATACGTTTTGTTTGTCCTTCCATAGACGTTCATCAAAATTTTGATTTAATTAAGCCACGAAGACGATTAGTTATAACTCGCAGTACAACCGTTAAGACTCAAGTAAACGAAATAAAAAAAAAAAAATCTTTCAATAAGACGGCACCTCCAGTTTTACCTCATCACATTACTTCGGGTGTACCCATAACCTGAGGTGACCATGATAAAGTATGTTGGATTATTAGCAGGATGTATTTTAATTACTACCTTATCTCGTTACTTGAGCCTTTATAGTTGCACTGCAAAGATTATAGTTCATTTTGCAAAAACATCGTGTTTGAAAGTGATTTTTTTCTTTTTATTTGAAATATAATATCAGTAATCGGATACAATTTTCTAGGTGACATGACAGTTGATCGATCGTCGATTATTTAAGCAAGACATACAATCAATATCAGATTGCGTAGTTCAATATGAAAGAAATTTATGTAAACATGCGATACATTATAATTTACTGGTATATTATCATCATAGATACAAGAATCATTTTTACACACAAGAATTCATCATATTTTATTTGTTCATTTAATCTTTATTAATAATTCGCGTGTAGTTAAGAATGAACAGCAGATCGACTACATACATTCTTTAACGAGCAAAAACTTGGTTCAATATTTTATGTAATGTTCATCTCTTGATACATTGAGTAGTTTTCTAATTATTCTTTTAAAAAGTTCATTTAATTTATCTTATGAGAAAATGTTCAAATTAAAGATTTGAAAAAAATTATTTTTTTATCGATTATTTATTAGAATTAAACTTACATTAATTGCTGTTCCACTAACACGTTCAATAGTATGTATACCCATTTCATAGACATGATTTTCAACAATTTTTTTCAATTCATTAGTTGCATTTGTTATTCGATTAACTAATCTGAAGAGAAGTGCTAAATCTATTAAAAAAAATTAAATAAATATATATAAATTAATGTTTATTATTCTAAATTATTAACCTTGATATCTTTCATCCCGAAGAAGTATTTTAGCTTCTGTATAAATAACATCAAGTTGATCACGTATAAGAACTTCTTCAACTTTTTTAATCAAAAATGATAATGTTGATGGATGTAAATATGATTGTACACGATGTACTTCTTCATCAAGACGTTGTGCAACCTATTATAAATAATTATTTTTTTTTTTAGTTTTCATTATAATTGAGAATAAAAAAAAAACGTAAACATACTTTTTTAAGATATTCTGTAACAGAATTATGCACAAGAAATGTAGCTGCTTCTAATCGATAGAATTGTTCTGTATCCAATATAAATTGTACTTCAAAAAAATCTTTATATATTGTCAATGTTGGTGCTGTCATTTGATTATTATTTGTTCCATCTTCAGTAAAACCAAGTGCAACTAAATAAAAATATTTAATATAAATAATTATGACACCTAAAAATAAAAAGTTGTCGTCTTGTTTACCATAACTTTGAATAACGCCACTAATTAAACGAGTATTTATAATTTCATTATTACGTTCTGATTTAATTAAATCAAGACAAGCATGTGTAACTTGTTTATGCAATGGTTGAAAAACAACTTTTTGCCATGTATCCATAGCCATCTAGAAAAATACCAATGTTATTAATAATAAAAAAATAAAATGAATACAAAATATTTACAGTATATATATCATAGACATCTTTTCGTCCGGAATTATATTCTCTTTGTACCCAATGTCGATTAATATATGAACAAAAATCATTCATTACTTTACTTGAAAATTGATATTTTTCCCAACGATTTGTATAAAATCGAAGTACATCTTCGCCTTGTAAATCAGTTCCACTCTAAAAATTAATTTTATTTTAACGAATTTATGATATAGTTATTTACTGAATACTTTCTTTTTTTTTTATCAAAGTTTTTCTTAAAAACAAAAAATCAAAATTTATACCATAAAAGAATAAGCTTAAGGAGCATTAAATCTTCATCAATAATAACTAATGAGCTTGAAATCTATTATTAGAAAAAGACGGAAATTAATACAATCTTTTACTCGAAAAATATTGACACATGAGATCTGTTTTACATAAAAATCTTGTTTGACTTTATATTTTGATTATGAATAGGAGTCAATCAAACTAAGACTCCCCCCCCCCAAAAAAAAAAAGGTTCTAATTCATAACACTAATTAAATCTCCAATTTTTCGAAAAATTAAAAGAATATTCTATTTTCTATAGTTTGCCTTGTGATATATAAACATTTTCTGGATACTCGATATGACAAGAATAATACATATGCATGTGATGAAATATCTAGGATATTCTATTAGCCGGAAGATTTATCTGTCGTCAACATGTCCGATAAAAATCTTGTCATTGAATTTTTCATAGATCGGAAGGCGTTTATAGTTCTCTTAGTTTCATTCATAGATAAAATATTGCGACGAACAATATTCAACAGTTGAATAGATATCAATTAAAGTTCTATGATAGAAATTAATATAACTTACCCTACATAAAAACGAAGAACGTAAGAGCCTATTTACTTCAAGTACATTTTCGAATACGAATACAATACAAACGACATATAATGAAGTCGTCCTTGATCATTGAACGTCTTTCACTTGTATGATAGGCAATTACATAATCAACTTATGTCAATGAATTTCTTTAAATGACAATTTTCATAACTTATACAAATATATCTAGTGAAAAGAAAATCATCACATTGTGAATTCATGTTTATTAGAAATCATATAAAAATTTTTCATATTTTAAAAAAATTATATGTAAACATTTCTTATATACATATCAATTTATAGAATATCTTAAACAAAGATTTTATAGAAAGTATAACTTAATGATGACATAGTTTAACATAAACATCAGGCATTCAAAAAAAAAAAAAAAAACTTTTCGAATTAATCTTATTGAAAAACAACAAGAAACACTTCTGAAATCGAATTGATATCTATACATAATTTATGCAATTTACAATAATAATACTTCATCATATACTATGATATTTTACTGAATTTGTCATATCAAGGACGGAGTACTAACCGTTGATTATGTTTCTCGATGTGTTACTTTTTCGATATTAACAAAAAGCAATATTCACATGGAATAGACATGAATCATATATAATTAATGATGTAAAATAATATACATTATATATTTGAATGTTCGAATAGTATCTTCTATTTACTAAGTTAACATTTATCTATGTTAAATCACTTTTTTTTCTAATAGTTATGTCATTCGTTTTGTAACAATTTCGTATTACTACATATGAAATGTTCAAGGGCATATTTATATATTAGACCTTATGATGAAAAGTACAAATAAGAAAATTTTGTTCAATTATTGAGCTTAATTAACATGAAAACATTATGGAATTTAAATAATGTTCAATATAAATTTAATAAGAAAATATTTCTTAATTTGAAAAAAAAATTAATCTCATATTTTATTCATTTATTTTTTTTCAAATAGCTTACTTGACAAATATCTTTTAGATAATCTTTTAAATAATATTTTAATTTATTATATAATTCTCCTCCAACAATATTTGCTCCATCTTGTCCATTTGATCTTGATAAACCTCCTATTTGTCCTCTCGTATTAGATGCAGATGTTCGTGATTGATTTGGATTACTTATACAATAATTATAGACATGACTAAAAAAAAAATCATAACAAAAATTAATAATGAAAAAAATTTCAAATTTTTTAATTTACGTATAAAGTAAAAAATAAGCTGATTTTTTCATTGCTTGAAATTGATAAACATGATTAATACCATCTAATAATTTTGTCCAAACTTCATCTAATTGAACATGTCGATTTGTATGTGACATCCTTGTCACTTGTATGAGAAACAAAAATAAAAACCTACAAATATAATCAGCTGGTTTTTTTCTTCTTCTTCGTCATGAACGCAATAAATTAATAGAGGATGGATGAAAAGAATTTTATTGGATATAGATATCGACCAATGAAATAGTCTATTGAAATTTTCTCTTATACTTCATATTTTATTTGTCTAAATATGAGTCTTGTCTTATATAGTTCTTCGGAATCTGATGATGATTATGATAATCAACGAAATAATATAAAACGTTTTAAACCACAATTACCATCTGTTAATATTCAACTTGAAAATGAAATTGATTTATTGGAAAAAAATTTTCAAATAAAAACTAATGATCGAATAAGATTATTTCCTCATGAAAGAGGAAATTGGTCTTTATCAATTTATGCATTTGGTAATATTTTGTTTTTTATTTTAATTTTTAAAATAAAGAAATTATTCTTTGATTTTGTTTTTTGTTTTTTCTCTTTAAGTTGAATGTTCATCACATTTAGATACAATGATTGATGATTTAATTGAAATATTTAATAATAAAAATGAAAATTGGAAACGTTTATTAGAATTTCATATTAGTTTATCAAAAACATTTCCTATTCGTTTTCATCATATTGAATCTATACGAAAAGGTTTACAACATGAATTATCAATATCAATGAAAAAGTATTCAATTGAAAAATTAGAAAAAAAAAACATTTTCTTTTATTTGTTAGATTTTCAACTCGGATTGAAAATGTAAAAATATTAAATAATGAAGATGAATCAACGTAAGTCTGAAAATCATACAAAAAAATAAATTTATTTTTCTTTATGATAGATCATTTTTAGTATTTACACTTGATCAAGATCAACAATTTTCTAAATTAGTAGAAATTATTGATAAAATACTTCGTGAACATCGATATCCAAGTTATTATGAAGTAAATTATAAATATAAAGAGGAAAAATAATTAGTATTTTTTTTTTTCTTATTTAATAGAATCCATGTTTTCATATTAGTTTTGCTTATTCAATAGAGAAAAATCAACAAGAAAAATTACCAAATGAATGGAACGAAAAATGTGTGGTAAGATAAATAAACATATCTATCTCGTTATATGAAGTCCAGTAAGAGTAATTATCAATAATAATATATTTTTCATAAACGATAATTTGTTTTTCTCGTTACTTTATTTTACCCAAAAAATTTTCAAGATTTCTGTCAACCCCTATTCGAAAAACCAGCTGTTTTTTGAAAAATCAAAAAATATTTTTCGTTTTTTCTCAAAAGCGCATCCTAAATTTCTCGTTCCTGGTTCGTTCAATGCATTAATATTTTTTTTGTTNATTGGATGAACGTATTAATCGACTGGTCAATGGATTCGACGCATCCCAACTGGATGAATTCTTAAAAAATATGGCAGCCAATGTTACTCTTTAGGTATTTTTTTTCTTTAAATTACTTTCTTTCTTTAGATTTTTTTTTTCTTTAGATTATTTTCTTTTTGGTTTTTCTTTCTTTTTTGGTTTTTCTTTTTTTTTTGTTTTTCTTTTTTTTTTGTTTTGAATTTGTTCATCATTATTTTTTGTATTCTGTGCAAAATAAATATGAGCGAACTCATTAATTTTACATCTTTCATTAAAAAAAAATAATTAAGAGATATATGCAACGAATGGATAGTGATGAGCATAGAGAAAGAATTTTTTCTGCAACGAACAGAACGAAAGAAATTTATCTGCGACGAACAGAACGAAAGAAATTTTTCTGCAACGAACAGAACGAAAGAAATTCTGCGACGAAGTGTCGTGCGACGAAGTGTCGTGCGACGAAGTGATCGTGCGACGAAGTGAATGCGACGAAGTGAATGCGACGAAGTGTCGTGCGACGAAGTGATCGGTCACCTTTTAAACAGCTAATGCATATGAAGTTATATGGGTTCTTTTACACTTTGGGGCCAGCGTTTCTAATAGAAATCTGAAACAAAAAGTCAAATGACACTTTATATTTGCAATCAAAGTGTAAAATGACACTTTGTTTTGTTAAACAGAGTGCCACAAAGTTTCCAAAGTGCAAAGTGTTAGAATTTGATTAAAGAAAAAAAAATATTTAATATAAATTTGTTCCAGGTATTCGACTGACAGAGAGGCTCACATCCCGCTCTTGTGAAATTCGCGTTCTTGTCAACTGAATTCTTCAGCGTTTTATTCAGGTTATTGTTTACTAATTTTCAAAAGACCACTGTAATCTACGTAATCCGTTGAATCCAAAAGCCTTCCAATCGTAGTGCTGAGTTGTCGATCTCCCCATACTTCTCCTATATCTTGAGACATCGAGGCTAGGAGGGGCAGTTTAACTCTGAAAATACTGATGTGAAAGCAGACTTTTTCAGAGAATTTTCTTTTGCGAAAAGAAGGTATCTATTTATCTGTTTCAGGGAAAAGTTATTTTTTTAAAGACTATTTTTCACGAAGAAGTTTCACATAGATTTTATCTCTTGTGAAAAAAGAATTTGTTTACAAAAAGAATTTCAGAAAAAATGACGTTAACTTTAAAGTAAAGTTAAAGTACCACTCCTGATTGAGACGCTTCGCTTATATGCCTATATAAGATCCAATAGAAAATATACAGCTTTTAGTAATTAATAGCGTTCGATGAACAATTTTTTTATCTAATATTTCACAGATGAAATAAAACAAAAAAGAAATAAAAATGGATACTAATAGTTTAGTTTAAACATGAAAAACATATATATATTCTGTACACAGAGCGTTGTTTACGGGTAAGGACGATGTGTATAAAATAAACTAGTACCCCGTACTAAAATTCAAATACATCTATTAGTTACATTACTGCGAATTATACTTGTCTCGATCAATGGTGATAAGAAAAGTACTCGCATAAGTTGCCTAAAAGGTTCTGTCAAGTATAAAATAATAACAAAATTGAAATGCAGAGAAACGTTCCAATAAATCCAAAACTAACTAGAAAATATCAGGATAATGAATACATCAATATTAATCACAAAATTCAGAAGCTGGGATTGGCAGATGTTTTTGATGAACAGCAAAGTATAAATTATTCTCAGCAAGGGTCGGCTTGACACTTTGTTTTCATCAGTAAAGTATCAAACAGAGTGTCAATCGAATATCGCAAGGGTCTTGGACACTTTGTAACAAAGGCTGACCCTTGCTGTTAGAAAAACTGCTTGTCATTAGATCTTTATGACGAGTATGGAAAAAAAATATCAACAAATTTTTTTTTCTTCAAATAAAAATGCTGCATATTTTTTAATTCATCTTTACTTATGTTTTACATGTTAATTTAGTTTTCTTTCTATTGTGTGCATTGCTTTGAATTTTAACTATTCGCGATGACAGTGAGATGACGACATCTTTCTATTTATATTTCGTTCTCTTTTTCATGAAGGACGGGTATGTGTAGAGGGAGAGAAAAAAAATTATTGGTGTATTAGTTTATCGCTATCCTTGTCCTCGTATTATTCATCGATATTTTGATCGACAGAAAAGGAAAAATACTTCATTGGTTTGTTTCTTGCGATCAATTGGATGAATGAAATGAAAGATGGAGCGACGTGCAAATATGTATCGTTCATGACCCATGAATTTTTTTCTTCAAAATACTTTTCGCGGTTTCTGGATCAAGTATTCAATATTATTATATTGTTTTGTTAGTTATATTGAAAACTCATTGGGTTTACTATTTTTTTTCGCGTGTATGTTTTAAAATTTTATTATAATTTTTACAAAGAATATAAATTGCTTTTTTTTTATTTATTTTAATTCAGTACTTAAAAAATAAATTATGTTTAATTTGTTTCATTTTCTTGATAAAAAGAATGAAATTATGTTTAATTTGTTTCTTTTTCCATACTCGTCATAAAGATCTAATGACAACGCAATACTCTTTGAAGTGTTTTTCGATTGAGATTTGAATTTCCCCTTGTGATGGGGATCCAAACATCGAATCGAGCGGGAAAGGTGTCCATTCGATAGAGCTCGTCGAGTTCTATCTTGGTATACCATTTTCTCGTTTTGGTCTAACCTATAGGCGAATCCAGTTGCGCAATACCGCGAAAATTCGGATTTTGGCAAGGATTTGTCATTTCGTAGGGAATCCAAGCATTGAATCGAGCTGGAAAGGTGTCCATTCGATAGAGCTCGTTGAGTTCTATCTTGGTATACCATTTTCGCGTTCTGGTATAACCTATAGGCGAATCCAGTTGTGAAATACCGCGAAAATCCGGAGTTCGACCAGGATTAGCCGTTTCGGAGGGTATCCAAGCATCGAATCGAGTCTAAAAGGTGTTCATTCGATAGATCTCGTCGAGATCTATCTTGGTATACCATTATCATGGTTTGGTATAACCTACAGGCGAATCCAGTTGCGGAATACTCGAATCCAGCTCCAAGATATCCTACGTGATTTTTTTAATGTTCAATCGAGCTTAGACTTTTTCGCGAGAATGGCAAAGCAAATAGTTGACAGGTCTGATAAAATAATATCATCAAAATTCAGACAGTTTAATTGCGTTTGCTATGAGTTTTCTATGCATTAAATGTACCTCAAATATTCGGGAAGACTTCTTGAGATTTCAGGAACCTTCACTGGACTTCAAGAGCCTTTCAAGGGACTTCAATAGACGTCAGAAGAGTCCGAAAGATTTCCAAGACTTCTCGGTACTTCACAACCGAAGTCTGAGTTGTTTTCCCTTTGCCCACACCCTAGTTGAATACTTGAATAGTTGAAACAACTTTTCAATAATTGAATACAAGTTTCAAGTTTGACACCACTGCAATAATTCGAATATTTGAACGTCTTCCATTTGAACGAGACCATGAAATACATGATCCAGTTACATCAATGATTGACTTATTTTCATTATCAAATGTAAATTTTGTTTTTTTTTATTTACAAAAAACAATATTATATTTTAAAATAATTTAATTCTGTTTTTTTGTTAATCTAAGATAACATTAGATATGTTAGATATATTAATTGAATGTGTTAAAATCGTCTTTATTCATCAACAAACAAATAAAAATATGCGAACATTAGATTTTTTAATTACATTAACACATGTTACACGTATTAATTATACAACTAATAAAAATTTATCACTTGTTTTTGATGCTCTTATTGATATATTTAGTCAGGTATATAAAACAAAACAAATAGGATAAATAAAAATCTTAGTCTTTTTTCTTTTAGACAATGGTAGCCATTGATAGTCAAATTCGTTATACAACATTTTATATTCTAAATAAACTTCAATCATTTATTGATCTATCTCGATCACCTTATATACCTGATCAATTTGAACAATATTTATTAGAATTACTTAATAATGAAACAACATTTCTTGTTCTTGATGAAATTATACCATTAGCTGCTAAATTTCAACATAAAAATCATCAATTTATTGATGGTTTGTAATTTTTATTTAATGAAAAAAATATTGAATTTTCTTTGCTTTTGTAGCTTTTCTTCGTAGAATAAATTTACCAAAATGGTTTTCATATTTGGATCGACGACGTCAGATTGTATCATTACTTGAATATTCATCTTCTTCTCTCAATTTTCTTCTTTCAACAATTGAAACTGATAATGATTTATCCCAATTAGCTTTTGAAAGTTTGTTAGCTCACGAACGAGGTTTTACACTTGATAAATTAGATTTTCATGGTCGATTAGTAATATTTCAAGTTGCTAGTAAATCTCGTGATTTATCACGTCTTATTTTTACTCAATGGATAAGTCAAAGTGGATATGAACTTGTTGATATTCTTCGATTATGTAAAATATCATCTTTTAATGAAAATAAAAAAAATAATAATAACAATTTAACACTTGAAACATGTTTACAATATTTTCTTGATGATAATAATATTCGTCGAATTGTCATTAATAATACAAGAATAGCCATTGGTAACAGCAAGTAAGTTTAAATACACAATCAAATTATCATAAATCAGTTTTGATTCGGAACCATGTGCTTCATGTAAATCATAATTATCTATGAATATATTGAAAAAAGTTCGAAATTTTGTCTTAATGCTGCAAGATACTGCATTTGTACAATTTGCATAGAGACAGGTCTTAATGAGACTTATTTTCCTTTATATATACTGGTAGAAAACTGTAAAAATGCAATGTCTCCGCAGCAAGGAGCTAAGTCTTTCAACTCTTTTCAGAATATTCATGGTTCATATGATGCACATAGTTCGGACTCCAAAATCATTAATCAATTGGAAGACTTCTATCATCAGACAGAGTAGAATGAAAGGTGTGACGTAGAAAAACCGCAAAAGAAAAATGTCGAAAGCAGAAAGTATTGAACTGCAGCATGATGTGTCTATAGTAGTAATAATGATAAATAATACTTGATAGAAGTTAACTAATAACAGTCAGAAAAAAACACTACGTACAATTAAAATTCTATCATCATGGTTGCAGCTACTTCATCTTCACCAGTTGTCAATTTTGAAGTTGAATAAAAGAAAGAAGAAGAAGTACGAAATATTGTAAATGTTTCGTAAACGACGTCATTTTTTTATTTGGTGCTTTGAATTCTCCCAAAGCTCTTACAAATTTCCGTGAGAAATGACGAGAAATCTTCTATGTTTTCCTGATCGCATTGATTGCTTTTCTTTGCTTGAAAAAGTATGTGAAGCTGTAGTACTTGTTTTTTTAATTGAAATTTTTTATTATTATGTAAAAAAGTACTTCTATGCATAGATGATCATTTTTTGAGAGTGTTTTCGAGATTTTCAACTTGTCATTCTTTTTTCTTCGGAATAAAAAGAAATAATCAGAGACTGCAATATGGCATGTGTAGAATATTTAATGAGAAGCCTTCTGAAAATAAGTATATGATTCTACAATAAAAGGTGAGAGAGATAAATACAAATGGATCATTCTTGATGATGCATCTGTTATGTACATGAATTAAATTTTAAATAAAACTTCTCTGAATATTTTCCTATTACAAAGAAAAATTTTATTTCTTAGAGATAATCTTTTACTTTCAAATGTATCAAATTATGTTGAACATTTATTTTTATGGCGTATTTTATGTCAATTAATAAATGAAGAAGATAATGATGATAATGCAAATATTCATCCAGATTTTCATGAATTTATTTTGTATTTTTATCGTTTAATTAAATCATCTGTTAATAAGAAATTATCTTCAATAGAAGAATTTATTATATATCAATATACATTAATTCTTTCAACATTTGATATGCTTGATATTTATCGTCGTATTGGTATCGCATAATGACTTGTCAATGAATGATATACACTCTTTTTCAGTCAAAAAAATGGCTTCTCTATATACATAGTATAATGATATCTTTTGGTAGTATGTTAACCTATGCAAAAAGATCTTTCTTTTTAATTATGATTAATGACAATACAAATTTTTGTTAAAAATCTCAATGTGTATTCGAATACCTAAAACAACTGAATGATTTGCAGGTTTGAATTGCTGATAAATTTCAAAAGTACATTCATGAAACCAAATTGCTTTGGAATATTAACATCAATTCAAATATATCAAACCCAAAGGATCATAACAAACAGTCAAATCGATGTCATATGGAGGAAGAATTTTTTGACAAATATCCAATGATTTTTAAAACAATGAGATCATTTTCGAACAATTGTTTATACTTAGATACACTGAATCGATCTTTTTATATGAATTAACCAAACCGCGATGATCTATAGTAGGAGGTTTTTCAAAGATTTAAACGTTTTTTTGTAAAACGAAAGTGCTTTCAAATATTGTCTCTAATTCTGTTTTATTAAATCGATATTGTTCTAAGAATCGGTCAAATTAAGATGATTTGAAGGAAGAATATTTTAATAGATTTCAAATTCTTTTTCGAAAAATAAGTGCTTTTGAGTAAAAAAATGCGTGAAAAAATGAATGTAACATTTGACATATTTTAAGTTTAGAAATAAATTGATTAATAATAATAAAAAAACACTTTTAGACCAGATGTTACTGTTATTGTTTGCATCTAAAAGTAACTTTTGTATACATTTTGATGTGCAACTAGCAACGAGTATTAATATAATTTAATAATAAATAAATTTTGACATGTTATGATTTAATGATAATTATTTGGGATAAAGGAAGTTCGTCAAGAACACATAATCGACTACTAAAAACTGAAATCATTCGATCTTTCGTAAAATTCTAAGACATAAAATATAGATTTTTAACTGATTTAATATACAAAACAAAATTCAAAGAAAGATTTCACTTTATTTAGATTGAAAAATTCATATGGTTCTTTTACAAAAAAGAGATTTAAGTGAAACAAAAAATAATATTCAGTTGTTTTATTTTATTATAACCATACGCAAAGTTTATCTTCATCTATCGTGTTCGGAACTTCTGTCTGAAAAGAACGAGTATTTGAATTCTGCAGATCAAGCAATTTTTTTTTCATAGAGTTTACCACGTTGTAATCCACCAGTAATAGTGAGAAAATTTAATTTCTTGAGACCGTTGATAAGTATCTGTGACACTTCAATGAGCTGATTTTCCATACCATCTAGTTCTATTATTTGCAAATGAGGTAATCGTTTAACAATTAAATAAGCAATCTCTATCGCATTTGGTTGGCTCCAATCAGTAAAAATATTGAGTTATCGTAAGCCATGTGACATGACTATATTACACAAAGACACATCGTTAAGAAGATCGATTAAATTTTCGTCTTCGAAATCAAATTCAGTTGCATATCTTGTTCTATATTTCAATTTTAGATTACGTAGATTAGTCGTTTGCGAAAAGAGAAAGTGAAGATGAGTTGAATTGAATGGTTGACCAATACTTAGCGATGTAATCTTATGCCAAGCAACAATATATGGTGATAAACAAATAAATTCATCGTTCATTTGATCATAATGCTCAGTCATGATAATCTTATTGCAGCGAAACAATTGACCATTGAAGGTACGTCTATTATATGGCCATCGACTTCGACTAAATTCAAAAGAATGTTTTGTTATAAAAGATGAAAACTGTCTATTTATACCTATGCACAATATTATGTAGATAAGAATAGACACATAAAGATTTATCCATTCTTGGTACTGTTACAGCTCTAATGTAACACACGTTTTCATCTACAGATAATTCTAATTCAATAGGCACTGGTCCTTTGAGCTGTTGAAACGTCTCGGATAAAATGTTGCTTGTTTCTGATAATGACACTATACTTCTCACAAGCCACTTAACATTAAACGAATATAAACATTGACTGGAAAGCATCGATAATAAATTATGAAGAATATGGGGACCACCCATTCTCGCCCATAATGTGAACTTTATTAGTGAAAATAAAACATCACGTTCAAATACCTTATTAATTGAATCCACAGCATCGACACGTTCATTCCAATTTAATCTAAGACGGCGTAGATTTGAAGCAACATGTTTATTAATGGGAATAACGTCGCTAAAATGAATTAACAAGATCATTGTGCAACAATAAAAAATACATCACTTATATTATTTAACTTCTTAATGAAACATACAGTTTTCTTTCATTTATGTACATCAGATCGTATGTCAATGTTCTTTCTATATACAACATTCGGCACTTCTTTATGTAAACGATTCTTCTATCCACGATGTAGAAATAATCAAGATCTTTTTTAAAGAAAATTTTACATTGAAGAATTCCTTATTTCATACTTATGACTAAACTATACTAAATGAGTTAAAATCTTTTCATAATGTAATCATTCTTATTTCGAATATCTTCTATCGTTTTAAATCGAGTAGATCTTTGATATGACTTTTTTCTGATTTTCTACTACATTATCTGTCTTTTGATTAGTGTTCAATAAATAACACTTATAATAAAATTTTGAACAAGTTTCATTACAGAAAATAATCCAAATGTTTCAAAATAAGTCTAAGAAGATTTTCTTGAATATTTTGCCTACATTTTAATGACGAATAAGTTTTCGAAATGTATTATCTTTTATTGCAAAATAATTTATACTTTCTATGAAAGTCTTCACCCTTTTCTAAATCTTTCACCTTTGATTTTCGTATAGACATTTTTCGAAGAGTCTATTCGACATTATAATTTATTTTACATCTTCTGGTCTTATCTGTACAGCTGCTCGATTTTTATTTGAAAATCTTCTTTCGAGCTTTTATCATTAATTAATTGAATCTAATATGTTTACATATTAACTCTTAAATAACTATCAACGAATGTATTACAGAAACATGATGAGAAGAGTTTTATGTCCAAGAATAAATCGTAAAATATCACGTTAATACACTCAAATACTAACGAAACAGATTCAGATGTGTTACTTTTACAACACAGGAAAACTCATTAATTACGAAAGATAAAAACAATATCATTTGTTTTCATCTAACAATCGAAACTATACTATTTTGATCATTCCTTTTTAGATGTATTCATCTATAATTGCATATAAAAGCTCATACTTGAATAATTTCAGTTAGTATTATTATATATATATAATGTACATTTGAAAATTTGATACATAACTCATTTTGAATTCATCAACCATTTAATATCTTCTCACTATTATTAATACTTTATTCTAAAAGTGAATATCAATTATTCAAAATGTATCTTATCAATTGACAAATAATTCATTTTTAATTACAAAATCTTCTCATAAAATGACCAGATACATTCTCTTCTTCAATACGCTTTACATTGAGTTCATAGATGAAAATATACATTATATTAAACAAAGAAACTTACTTGTTATCATCGTATCCTAGTGGATGTTTTTCAGGTAGCCAAGGATTAGTTCGTGTATAGCTGAGTTGTTCTATTTGTGGAAGATATTTAAATAAATATGATAGAAATCTTGGTGAACATTTAAGTGCAAGTGATTGTAAGTTTAAGAGAGGGTCCATCAGGGCATCGAGCATGGTCATACTCTCGAATTTTTGACCTACCCTTTTTATTATCGGAAACGAAAGCCCATGTGTAGAAACCTATAAATCCAAAGTTTCAGACTTTTTTATTGTTCCCTTCAAAAGTTATGAGGTAAACATGGAAGAGGTCTCACGTGACACTAAACAAATATAACTCCTATCATACATATAAAGTATTTTGACAATTTCTCTGAAATGATTCATTGACTGAGTCCGTGNAACAAAAAGTCAAATGACACTTTATATTTGCAATCAAAGTGTAAAATGACACTTTGTTTTTTTAAACAGAGTGTCACAAAGTTTCCAAAGTGCAAAGTGTTAGAATTGGATTAAAGAAAAAGAAATATTTAATATAAATTTGTTACAGGTATTCGACTAACAGAGAGGCTCACAGCCTGCTCTTGTGAAATTCGCGTTTTTGTCAAGTGAATTCTTCAGCGTTTTATTCAGATATTTGTTTACTAATTTTCAAAAGGCCACTGTAATCTACGTAATCCGTTGAACTCAAAAGCCTTCCAATCGTGGTGCTGAGTTGTCGATCTCCCCCATACTTCTCCTATATCTGGAGACATCGAGGCTGGGAGGGGCAGTTTAACTCTGAAAATACTTATGTGAAAGCAGACTTTTCCATAGAATTTTCTTTTGCGAAAAGAAAGTATCTGTTTATCTGTTTCAGGGAAAAGTTATTTTTTTAAAGACTATTTTTCACGAAGAAGTTTCACATAGATTTTATCTCTGGTGAAAAAAGAATTTCAGAAAAAAATGACGTTAACTTTAAAATAAAGTCAGAGTACCACTTCTGATTGAGACGCTTCGCTTACATGCCTATATAAGATCCAATAGAAAATATACAGCTTTTAGTAATTAATAGCGTTCGATGAACAATTTTTCTATCTAATATTTCACAGACGAGATAAAAGAAAAAAGAAATAAAAATGGACACTAGTTTACTTTAAACATGAAAAGCATATATATATTCTGTGCACAGAGCATTGTTTACGGGTAACGACGATGTGTATAAAATAAACTAGTACCCCGTACTAAAATCCAAATACATCTATTAGTTACATTACTGTGAATTATACTTGTCTCGATCAATGGTGATAAGAAAAGCATTCGCATAAGTTGCCTAAAAGGTTCTGTCAAGTATAAAAGAATAACAAAAATTGAAATGCAGAGAAACTTTCCAATAATCCAAATACTAACTAGAAAATATCAGGATAATGAATACATCAATATTAATCGCAAAATTCAGAAGTTGGGATTGGGAGATATTTTCGATAAACAGCAAAGTATAAATTATTCTCTGCAAGGGTCGGCTTGACACTTTGTTTTCATCAGCAAAGTGTCAAACAGAGTGTCAATCAAATATTGCAAGGGTCTTGGACACTTTGTAACAAAGGCTGACCCTTGCTGTTAGAAACACTGGATGTGGGTGCGTTTCTTGTGACAAGCCACATCCATACCCACACCCACCCGTATTCACAGCCGGAGACTGTTATTTAGGCTACTTTCTTTATTTATATTATAGTCGTTTATTGGGAAGTGAACAACAAACAATCTTTCGAAGACAATTTTTTTTTGGATAAGCATGTGTTAATAAAAATAAACAACAACCTTTTTTTGTAAAACAATATCTTTTTCTTTAAATATTGAACTTGCTATGCGCTAAAATATTTTCTACAATTTGTTTAATAAGTATGTCAATGCATTTCTAAATAACGCTGTCACTCTATCAGTTAATTATCTATTTGATTCATTATACTATCATGAATTATTATGTATTTCATCATCTGTTCCAAGAAAATAACTTAGAAATCTTTTTTTTTTTATTTAACATAAGTAATTAGAATATGCAAGTTTCAACAACATACAGAGTGATTCATAAGTAACTTTACGATACAAAATTTGAATACTGCCACTGCAGGCTACGCAGAGATTCGTTCCGAATATAAAAGAAATGTATAGGATTTTTTTTCAATAAAATAACTTTTGAGAGGCTTGTCAAACATGATAGTGCTTTCAAAATCTTAAATAGGTCACACTCGAAGTTGCTAAATAAACTGAGAACAAATATATATTTCAACTACTAAAAAAACGATTCAATAAAGTTCAATGTGAAAAAATCAATTTAAACGAAATGATGGTCTCCATTTGTTTTATGAATAACGATTGACTAATATCTATATGAAAACAATATAAAATAGAAACATTGCAAAAATGCAGATTTAGAACATCCGTACATCAACATCAGCCAAGCACCTTTTAGTACTGAAATGTAATAGTAGTGTTAACAAAGTTGATAAATACGATAGAAATTGAGATTATAGATATGTATGAGAGTCATACGACTCCAATTCTATTTTTTCAATCAAGACAAAAGTATTTTCCGAAAATAATATTTTTTTGTAAAATTTCTTCGAAGCATTTTCTGGTTTTATTAATGTGAATCTACAGACGATTTGTCGAAATTCTAAAGTTTCATTTTTTCAGTTAGTACAGGTCTATTTTAAAACGATAGATCAGTTTAATACAACTCGGCTAAATCGCAAGAATAGACTTATACTGATCAAAAAATAAATCGAACTCATGAATTTCGCGAAACCACCTGTAGATTGAAGTTCGTCGATTTCAAAAATATTCGAGCAAGTTTATAAAAAATTGTTATTCTCAAAAAAAGAAATACTTTTGTCTTGACAAAAAAATCGAATTGAATAGTAAAACACTCATATCTAGGTATAATGTCAACTTTTATTTAGTTTTCCACAGCTCTGAGCACCTCAGTATCTTCCCACTACCACATTATCGTTCAGCATAATCTGATACATAGGTGTTGCACTTATCCGCTCGACAAATTGTATTATCTGTTTTTTTTTAATAACTATTGACATTTAATATACATAAAAACGGCATAAACAAATATATAATACAGAAATGAACGATAAGAAAAAAAAATCTTTTTCAATCAAGATTGATCATTAAATCAACCACAGATTTCAGAGTTTTTTCTCCTTTAAGAACAACGTTTATAATTATTTCTTTGAAGTATTATCATTGGCTTCAATAATGAATTTTTATCTTTGCAGGCTTCGAAAAAGTACACATAAGGTAATCTATTAATATCCTTTCGATAGTATCCAGACACATTAACAAGAAAAACTTTATTCAAGATATCAAACTGACTGGTGTGAGTGTGGCTGTCGCTATAAATATTTCCTTCATCAAAATCCTTCTTGACATAGATTTTACAATATTTGTATCTATCTGATGATTTAACGGTTCCAAAGTATTTTTCCTCACAGTTTCGGCTTCAAGATATTTTGAAAGTTGGTTCCAGTGTTTTTAGATCCGGCGAACTCTAGTCATGATAGGTCACTAAGTTAGTCCTATTTAAAAGATGCGTTAAAACATAATTTGCAGCACTAATGATTTTATCAAGAAATGGTTGAAATTTTTTATAACGATAAGCAACAGTGAATCCAAGAATGGCTTTCGATAATTCTCTCCAAGATATTTCTAAACTCACGAAAAAAAATTTCTATTTTAATCGCAGAATAACGTGTACATCGTAGAACAGGTGAAAATCGTCTTACTAATAAGTGCTTGTATTAATACGAATGGAACTGTTGATCGTGTAACTTCTTTAGAAAATTGAAATACTTTTCTGTTAACGTAGCATTGAAAATTTTTTTAGAGAAGATCTGAAAAAAGAAAGTTTATGTCTATATGACTATAGCTATTATTGTTATTCAATATTTTTTCAATGGAAATACATATGAACGATAGTACTGACACGAAAAGTGAACATACTAAGAATAGACAATGAAAAATGGATTGAATGTATAGTTCCCAGCATTAAAGGTTACATTAATGCAGCACACTATTAACACGTTAGTAAACAGTAAAAGTGCAATGATTTAAAATGATAAGAATGATGAGAGAATGCAGTATGATAACGATGTACTTTTTTATTCTGATACTCTCATGAGAGACTTTATTATGAAGACAAGCAAAAATATATGATTAGGTTTCTTTTATATCACAAAGAAAATGGATCATATCTTTGACTGAAATTAAAAAAGAATATATTTATGATTGAAAAAATTGTTTTTACATGCAAAGAAGAAAGATNACACTTTATATGTGCAATCAAAGTGTAAAATGACACTTTGTTTTTTTAAACAGAGTGTCACAAAGTCTCCAAAGTGCAAAGTGTTAGAATTTGATTAAAGAAAAAGAAAAAGAAATATTTAATATAAATTTGTTACAGGTATTCGACTGACAGAGAGGCTCACATCCCGCTCTTGTAAAATTCGCGTTTTTGTCAAGTGAATTCTTCAGCGTTTCATTCAGATTTTTGTTTACTAATTTTCAAAAGGCCACTGTAATCTACGTAATCCGTTGAATTCAAAAGCCTTCCAATCGTGGTGCTGAGTTGTCGATCTCCGCCATACTTCTCCTATATCTTGAGGCATCGAGGCTAGGAGGGGCAGTTTAACTCTGAAAATACTGATGTGAAAGCAGACTTTTCCAGAGAATTTTCTTTTGCGAAAAGAAGGTATCTGTTTCAGGCAATAGTTATTTTTTTAAAGACTATTTTTCACGAAGAAGTTTCACATAGATTTTATCTCTTGTGAAAAAAGAATTTGTTTACAAAAAGAATTTCAGAAAAAAATTACGTTAACTTTAAAGTAAAGTTAAAGTACCACTCCTGATTGAGACGCTTCGCTTACATGCCTATATAAGATCCAATAGAAAATATACAACTTTTAGTAATTAATAGCGTTCGATGAACAATTTTTTTTATCTAATATTTCGCAGATGAGATAAAACAAAAAAGAAATAAAAATGGATACTAATTTACTTTAAACATGAAAAGCATATATATATTCTGTACACAGAGGATTGTTTACGGGTAGGGACGATGTGAATAAAATAAACTAGTACCCCGTACTAAAATCCAAATACATCTATTAGTTACATTACTGCGAATTGTACTTGTCTCGATCAATGGTGATAAGATAAGCATTCGCATAAGTTGCCTAAAAAGTTCTGTCAAGCATAAAAGGATAACAAAAATTGAAATGCAGAGAAACATTCCAATAAATCCAAATACTAACTAGAAAATATCAGGATAATGAATACATCAATATTAATCACAAAATTCAGAAGTTGGGATTAGGAGATGTTTTCGATGAACCACAAAGCATAAATTATTCTCAGCAAGGGTCCGCTTGACACTTTGTTTTCATCAGCAAAGTGTCAAACAGAGTGTCGATCGAATATCGCAAGGGTCTTGGACACTTTGTAACAAAGGCTGACCCTTGCTGTTAGAAACACTGACCGACGGTATCTATATAAACAGTGACGACATGGGTAAAATATAAATGGTACTACTGTACATGAGCGACACTCTCACTCTTACATTGATTGCTTTGTTCAATAGAGCTATCGTGTGTGAGAGTATCCTTCTTTCATCTGCACCACCACCAAATATAGTGTCCGGAAAAGTCACTAAAGTTACAAAAAAATTGAATATCTCCGCTAAGGCTCGATCAAACGGGTTGATTTTTCTACCAATAATAGAGACATGTTCACACTTTAAATCCATAGAGACAAGGTTAGAAAGAGGCTTTGTTAGCTACCATCAATGATCTCAACAAAAAAATTTTACTTTTTCACAGGAAGAAAAAAAAACAATATATAGAGTAGCGCAAAAGTCACTTTGCCCAAAAAAAATTGAATATCTTCACTACGGCTCGAGCAAACGAGCTGATTCTTTTATCAATTCAAGAGGCATGTTCAAGCTTTATATTGATAAAGACATCTCTAGACGAGACCCTCTGTTAAGTCTATTGTTTTTTTCTTATCTGGAAAAAAGTAAATTTTTTTTGTTAAGGTCATCGATGGTATTTAACGAGGGCTCTCTCTAGCCTTGTCCATGTAAATTTGAAGAAAGAACATGTCTCTATTATTTGTAAAAAGAACACTAGGTTTGCTTGAGCCCTAGCGAACATATTCAATTTTTTCTAACTTTAGTGACTTTCCGGACACCCTATATAATAATAAACAAAAATTTTATAATAAATCGATTTTTGTTTTAGGTTGATGATAAAGTGGCAAACAAAAAGGAACGAACCCAAGTAGCACGTGCGATATGCTCTTTGAATAAGAAAGGAGATGATCATCTCATATATATAGACGTTTTTTTATCGAAAGACATGCACATAATAAATGCTCTCTAACCTTATTCAACATCGAAATAAATATCGACTCTTTAACAAATATTTTATCGACAGGCATAAATCTTTTTCGCTCTCATTGGTCACTTCACTGCTTTGTGTATATATCTTGTTGAGTTAAACGAAATTAATTTAGTTCACTTTTTTTTGTATTAGACCCTTAAATTTTGAACAAAAAGAGAAGAAAATATTTTTCGATCGGTTATTCATTGATTCATCGTCGATTAAGTCTATACAAAATATAATCATTGTTTTCATTGACGACATCGGTCAAATAGAAAACATAACTATATATATACATTATAAAATAAAGAAAAACAAAAAAAAGTCAATATAAATAAACATGGAACATTCATCTATTCAACTGGACGATTTGCCTGATGAAATTATTCTGATTATTTTGAAAAAATTACATAATTGTGATGTACTTTATTCTTTAATAGGTGTTAATAAACGACTTGATACCATTGCAAATGATTTGATTTTTACAAGTAATTTAACACTAATATCACGTATTAAGAAACGATTTGAAACAATTGGAAATGATCCATTTTTTACAAGAAATTTAACATTAATAAAATCTTTTGATGGTTTATCATGTCAATTTACTGATGTAATACTTGATCGATTTTGTCTTGAAATTTTACCAAAGATTAATGATAAAATTGAACGACTTAATGTTGAATCATCATCTATGGAACGTATTCTTTGTTTAACAAATTATCCTAATTTACGTGCACTTGGTTTATATGATGTTCAACCAGAACCAGTTAATTATCTTTTTTCTGGTAACGATATTTTATTCTATTCTTTCAATTATTAATTCTATAGGAATATATTTTATCTGAATATATTTTTTATATAATCAGACATTTGATTATTACACTCATACTCATATTATAACAATAGTTTTCTTTTTTAATATTAGTTGAAAAATATCAATTTGATGAAAGATTTTAAATAAATAAATAAAGATATCGGCTAAAAGAAAATCAAAATCTTGTTTTATAATATGTTTAATTAAAATTGTTTTATTCTTATAAAATATAAGATTAGGATATGAATTAAAGAGATTATTATCTATTAGAGAATTTAAATGAAAATCATTTAAAATTGATTTATTGAGAAGGAAAATCGGATAAAATATTTATAAGTTAATAAATGAAATAAAAACTAACAAAATAATTTAATAAAAATTTTAAATCTTTATTTAGATGAAAGTTATTTAATTCGTTATTATCGAAATCAAATTTTATCACTTTCTATTATTATGAAAAGAGGTGCACTACAAACAAGTATTTTTGGTGTTAAAAATATAAATATAAATATATTTAGTAAAATCTGTTCTATGTTTAACAATTTAGAATATTTTAATTTTAGTTCATCTTCTAATTATGAACAATTAACGTTCTGTAGTATACCTTCAATTAGATTCTCAAATCTATTAGAATTACATGTCGTATTAAAAACTCTCATAGATTGTCTTTGTTTACTTGATGGTAATTTCAATAAACTTAACAGATTATATGTTACGATTTGTCCTCGTGCTCTTTTTGAATGGCCATTAGTCAATAACAAAGTAAGTTATTTATATTAATCGTTTATTCTGTAAATAAATAATATTTACGAATATTTCTTAATTGTTGTTTTGTTTAGAATAAACTGCCTAACTTAAAATGTTTTTCCTTAATCCATGAAGATGAATCGTTGAAGTGCAATGAAATATTTGTTCCACTTTTACAAAGAATGTCAAATTTAGAAGAACTTAGTTTGTATTTTTTCATCCCGTATGGACCAATAATTGATGGTGATTATTTGAAAGAAAATATTCTTAATCATATGACAAAATTAAACAAATTTACATTTAATATTCGTTCAACTCTTCGTCTTAATAATCAAGTTAATCTATTAATAAATCAAGATATTCAAAGTACATTTGAAAATTTTAAAAATAATGAAATTATTTCATATATTGATTATTTTTCGAAATCAAATTTATTTAATTATCATATTTATTCATATCCATATAGATGGACTTGTTATGATGGTATAACGAATAGTTTTCCTGGTGGATTATTTCAATGTGTTCGTCAAATATCATTATATGATGAACATCCATTTGAACATGAATTTTTTCTCCGAATTGTTCAATCATTTCCATTTATTGAAAAATTACGTTTAAATAATCGTGAACCACAACAGAATCCTAATCTACAGTCGTTAATCATAAAATATCCTCATCTTACTGAACTTGATCTCGTTAAAACTCATGAAAATTATGTTGAACAATTTTTAAATAATAGTAAAACGTGTTTATTAAAAAATGTTTACCTTCGTGTGAATTATGGTTGTTTACAAAAAGCAACGGATGATTTTAGAAAAGATACAACTCGAATTAATTCTTCAAAAATCATTGGTCTTTTAGTATCAAACCATAAGGGTGAAGTTGAAAAATCGAAATCGTATTTTCCTCAAGCAGAATTCTATTGTTTATTGTAATATATTGTTTTGAATAAATTTGAAATAGGAAGAAAATAAATTTTTATATTTTACAGAAAAAAAACGATATAGTTGAAATATTTGTGAAAAACGATAAGATATAATAAAATTTGATTTATGTAAATAAGAGCAAAACATCCCTGGAAGAGAGAAGAAAAACTTGTGTGGTGTTAGGGTTGCCTTTTATATTTGACATTGGTAGAATAGATATATTTGCTTTTAGTAATGGGTTTGTTTGTCTAAATGTTCATCGCTCTTATCATCATATAAGTAGAAGTAAGAAATCTCTCCGGTGAACTAGACCGACAGTAGAAGGAGAATCTTGACTAATAACAACTAGTTGAATTAAAATGTGACTGATGTCGAACAAGTGCATCAATTTGTAGAATTATCATACTATGCTGGTATATATATACTAATGAAGATTTTCACGTAAACGATTAGGAGGTATTGCTTCACCAGCTTTTAAAGTAAAACGATAAGTTTCACGATTTTCTAAAGACAAAAACAAAACTTTATTTCTTTTAATTTTTTTATTAGTTAAATATGGATAGTCACTTGATTTAACATTTTATTGATAAATTCCTTGACGGAATGCATCTTCTACCCATTTTAATGTGAATGGTGTAACCATTAAGGGAACAATATAAAATAAACGATGATAAAGTTCACTGAGAAGAACAACAAGAGAAAGAGTTATTCGAATAAGTCTACCTAAAAATGAATATGTACCAACCAGAGCATATTGTCCGGCCGTAGCACAATGTTCATTGGGTATTCGACATTGACGTCTTAATTAAACTAAACGTTGGTTTTTATAGAATTTGTTCTATTATAAAAGAATAAGAAGACTAGCAATAAATCCTATTGATATACTAAGAATAATTAAACATTATGGAACTTTAAGTATTAGAACAACATTTATGTAAATTTAAACTTGAAAAAAAAACAATAGGAAAATTAAAAGAATTTGAACAAGAACGTGTAAAAGATAAAAACGATGAAGAGATTTTAATGGTAAAATAATTTAACAAAATAAATTCATTTTTATTTCAATGATTTTTCTTTCGTTTTTGGTTAACTAGTTGAGCATGGCAACGGTGTTCTATCAAAATCTATGATTAAAAGTGATAAACGAATTGAACAATTACGTCATACAACAAATGGTTATTTAGTATTAAATTCTAAACAAGCTCAACCATGATCTTAGACTTTTTTCATGCATTAAATCTAGGAGAGCAATTTTATTGGTTTTCCTCGTCTTCATTTTCGTTTTATGTTTAAATCTAATCATCTCTATATGAAAAATCTCAATAAGAATGACATGTTATATGTTATTCGAGATTCGTTTTCATTTGTTGGATTTGATTTAATTCCTGTGGGAAATAAGGACGATTGATTGAAAGAAAAAAACATAGAAATTACTCGTCTGTTAATTGTCGCATAACTTTGTTGATCAACATGTAGAACTAATTATTTATTGAGACAATATTTTACTATTTCTAATAGAATAACTAAAATAAATTTGAAAAACATGATCTATTTATAAAGGTATTTTTATTGAACGATCTCAGTATGAAGTTTTGTTTAGTAGGAATTATTAATTATTATTCTTGAAACTACTATTTATTATGTTAAATTTATTTAAAAATTCTTTCTAATAAACGTTTTTATTTAGTATTTTCAATTAATTTTGAACATGTCATCGTCACCATCAACATCAACATCATTGTCAATTGTTTTAAATTCTTGTTTGCTTGCTAATTATTTAGTTATGACAAGACAATCGATATTCGTTTTCTTCATTGTTTTAGCTCATCCCTTTCTCTAATCGATTTCAATTTTCATCATGTACTAGTGGTCAATTATTATCATTAGCAAAAAGTCGTTTTATCACTATTCGATATGCATCGATGGGTTATGTTAACAAATCATTAAAAAATTAACTCTCCCACCATTATCGACAAATATCGAAACCGACACATTACGATCATGCTCGAAAAAATGAAAGAGAAAACCGTTTCTGAAAGTATTCTTGAAAATTTTATTTGAAATATATATACCGTCTTTGTTTTTCAGGTTATGATATATTGCCTGAAATTGAAACTGATAAAGCAATATTACGATTCAACAACAAGTTATCAAAGATATGTTGTCAAAACTGTTATAACCTCATCCTACTAAAGAGATGCCTGTTGGAAAAGTAAATAAAAAGTTATTCAATCTGTTCTTATCTATAGATTGAATAATTGATATATTTAACAATCTACTATTATTATTGAAAACAGAACAAGATGATGTAGTTGCATTTAACGATTATAAAGATGATCGTAGTGAAACACTACTAAACAATAAATCAGATGAAGAAATTTCTCGAAGCGGAAAAATAGATAAAAAAGAGAAAGAATCAACGAAAAAAGATGATTCATATAGAAACGACTGAACAACAACTAGTATAAAATGCAGAAAAAAAGAAAAAACAACAAGAACAAAAATCGATAAGACGTTCTATTAGTTAAGATGGTCGAGTTGCACCATGACCTTTTCCTCTTCGAAATTCTTCTAGAAAAATGCATAGATCTTTATCGAAATAAATAATTTGTTTCTTTTATCAATATCTAAACTTATATTTTATCCTTATTCTTTAGTCGATTCAAGGTAATCATCCTCCGTAGCTTCTCAAAAGAGATACTTTTTAATTAAACATACAGCTATTTAAAAGGGGTACAACTATTTTAAAAAATCATAGCTATTTAAAGTGTTTCGACTATTTAAACCACCAAAGCTACCTAAAGTTTCCTATAGCTATTTATAATTTCACACGTTTATTGAAATTACTCTAACTAGTTTTTTACTATGAATTTTTAAAAACAGTCGCCTGTGTAAAATACATTCATCCTGATACAGACCACGATTATGGTACATACAACAGTTTGGTTCTTTGTAAAACTCTTTTTTGGCTCTAGTTTCCTAATCGAAATATTCCATTTTTTTAGCANACTCATATGGCTTCCCAAAATCTTCGGTACTCGTTCATTCAATGTATTAATAGTCTGTTCTGGGAAAGAGTATCTCAAGCTGTAGGGCATGATGGGGGGGGGCTTAAGTAAATTAAAAGGAACTATGAATATCCTGAAAAGATTTCATGTCTTGAGCTTATTGATGAGAAGATAATGCATTTTTATGGTACTTTTTAATCCAATATCGTAGTAGCTTTCAATAACACTAAAATGTTTTTGAGAGGACTATGGCATTTATTTAAAATATATCATAAAAGTACAATATCCTTACAGCAATAAGCCTAATGGCAGGAAATCTTTTCAGAGTTGTTAAAAACTCAGTTGGAGACTTTCCTGTGAGATCTATTAGATTCATGTAAGTCTTTTTATCGTAAACAACAATTTGTAATACGAAACAAAAAAAAAGAGGCCATAATTTCCAAGAATGATTCTTTATTTTCATACTTATTCGTTTTATTTTATAATAAAACAAGTTTTAGAATTTTCAGTAATATATAAAAAAGTAAATATCGAAAGCTATTGAATCAATTGACCTTCTACTTATTATGTTTTTTTTTTTTTTTTAAAGAAATTATTGTTATTAATAAATAATCCTTGTATCTTTATTTTTAGTCTATTTTAAAACAATATCAATGTCAACCAAGTGCAATAACTATAACAATTGATGATATTCGTTTAAAAGCAGGCAAACGTATTTATCAATTGACTAAATCATTATAGAGAGAAAAAAAAAATTTATTTTTACTCATATATGTAAATTTAAGAAAATAAAATTTGTTATTTTATTTCAGATATAATGGCTTTTAGATTTGGTATTCCGAATATTGCATTTCGTAAAAGAATGTCATGGTTTGATTTTACTCTTGCTTGTATAATAGGTGTTATAGGTGGTATTTATACATTTAAACCAGCTCTTAAAGATGCAAAAGGTGCTATTGAAAGACGAGAAGCATTAAAAGAAATTCAAGCTAGAAGACAAGCTGAAGTTGAAAAAGGTATTTTTTTTTGTAATTATAATTTCTATACGAACATTATTTCGTTTTTTTTAGAGCTTAAATTACAAACACTAAAATGATAATTTTCATTTTTTGATCTCTTGTTATATTTCTAATGTTGTCCTTTTTTTTTTTTCTTAAATAGTATTTTAGTTTTATAGATTAACAAAATAATGACAATAGGAAATCATTCACCACCTATTATTAATCAACGACAACCAGAAAATGCACGTGAACAATTTCTTCGTGAACAAAAACCTGGTCAAACAGCATGGTTAACAACATTTAAACGTCTATTAAAAGTACCAAATACTCGTTATGCTTTTTTATGGTTGACAGCTGGAACACTTTTTTGTTTATGTATTAAACCAGGTTTACGACGACGTGATGAAGAATTAATGATTAAAGATGTTAAAAATTATTTAGAAAATAAAAAAGATTTACCATAAGAAAATTTATTTATGTTTTTTTTTTTTGTTTTTTTTGTTTTATATATTTATAATGTCATCATCTGATAAAGCAATTCTGAGTCAATTTCAACTTGAAAATGGTTGTTTACTTGGTGGACCTGTTGAAATTCCATTAATTATAAATATTCGTCAATTAAATAGTGTTGCTAATGGACTTATACAAGCACAACAAACATTATTAAATAATAATGAATTAATTCCATATTCATTTTATATTGATGATATTGAAATAAAAGAATCATTAGAAAAATATTTTCAAGATCAAACAAATAAACAAGCATTTGAAAAAACTTTAAATATAACTTGTGTACCGAAAGCAAGATTTCAAGTTATACCTGTTGAAAGATGTACAGCAACAATTGAAGGACATCTTGAAGCTATAACTGTTTTACAATTTAGTCCAAATGGAAAATTATTAGCATCAGGTAGTGGTGATACAACTGTTAGATTTTGGGATTTAAATACACAAACACCTTTGGATGAATATGGAAAAGCACATCAACATTGGATATTATGTTTAAGTTGGGCACCAAATGGAAAAATTGTAGCATCATCATGTAAACAAGGTCTTATTGGATTATGGATTGGTGCAACTGGTAAACAATATGGTAAATAATAATATTTAATAAATTCTTAATTTATTTCTTACATTCTAAATCATGAGAATGAATTTAGATATGTAATAGATCCATTGGAATAATTAGAAAAATTCTTGTAAAACTTTTATGACTACAGGTGATTGAGTCAATATGGAAGGCAAAAGTATCGGATGTTATTCTCAAAGATATTATTGCAGCTTGTGAGATTTAATGATTCACTTAACATCTGTAAACTGATCGTATCCCTAGCGTAATTCTGTATTGTACAGAAAGAAATATAATGATTTACAGAAACAAAAACACTCGCTTTGTTGTATTTACATATAAAGGTTATATATAGTCTCTGTTTTGTATAACATTTCTCCATATATGCTCCTTTTCTTTTGTATATGATAAGGAAAATAAACAATCGTAATACTAAGCTATTCAGACTTATATAAATCTGGTTGTATACGATGTCATACAGCTGTTTTTGTCATAGTCATTGCTTCATTTTCATGATATGCTTTGACTTTTGAATGCTTGATGAAATCATATTTCTTGAATTAATTATACGTCATGTGAAGATATGAGTTATGTAAGATAGATATTAAAAAATTTCTTTATTGAAAGTATTATAGTTTGATTGTAGAAAATGAAGTTAAAAGTTTTTATTTATTTGAATTTTGCTTTTTCTACAATGAGAATTAAGATATGTAAAAGCAGAAGAAGATAGTCTGATGTTTGATAACCGACACGAATTTTTGTTTTAATACAACGTTCTTTCCATAAATTTTAGATGAACTCAGTCATTATCTGCTTGAAAAATATGCTTTTCTTAACGCGCGATCCAGAATTCTAATTAGGCTTTCATTGTATATATTTAGTTTGTTTTTAGTATTTGACAGAGTATGTTAAGATGTAAGGGCCATGACCATAGTTCCTTCTTTCAATTAAGCTTTGTTACGCATATATAAAAGAGAACGTTTATAATTAGAGTGTCATTATTAAAGAGTTTTTCGAGACATGGAATTAGTTATGTTTTGTATCTTGAAATGCTCTTTCAATCAAAAGAAAAAAAAATGAAGTATTTACAATGAACGCCTACAAAGAATTTTGAGCTATTTTTCATGCTTGTTTCTTGAAAACATTATGGTATAAGAATGACAAGTTTACAATATATTCTCCATTTCACCTCCTGTATATTGTGAAAATCTCATGTGATTTGAATGTATCTAGTCCAAAAAATGGATTTTTGAGAAATACGCCACCTACCCCATAAAAAAAAAAAACAAGTAAGATGAAAGGAGAAAATAATAAACTGTAAAAAGATAAGAATCATTCGCATTATTTTATCAGGATTTATTAGTCCAATTAGTTGTGAAATGAAATTGTGTAAAAAATATGATTATCTCTCGATTTTTATTAAAAATCATAATTCATGAATAATTTTTTCATGGTTTGCAATTTATCCTTTTTTTAAACGCTCATCGATAGTCGTATGAACTAACGATTATTATCAGATTGATATATATGATAAATCTCATGCACATGAAAATGATGATTATGAAATTTCTGAATCTATACTCAACAAATAAACTTGTCGAAGTATATATTAAGGGCCCGCCCCCCTCAGAAATTTCATTTTTTGGTAAAATAATCGAAGTCGAGTTTTTATCATAGGAAGATGCAGCGAAGTTTTCTCTTTCAGAATATATATAAATTTTTAAAAAAAGGTCAAATTTTTACAGATTTTCGTAGGAGATTTCCACCTCACTACCCGGTTTTCGGAGAGATTTTCGCGGTTTTTGTAATTTTTGGGAAGACTACTTTTTTACTTCTATCAGCATGGAATAAACATTCTTATATCATATAGTACGGCCTGTAGTGCTAGCTTACGCCATCTATTGCGTGCTTTCAAAAATTCCACATAAATATTATCAATATACCATTATTTCCTGCATTTGAATGAAAAATCCATTTCTAAAACTTCTTTAGCGTTTTTCTCAGAATACGGTTTCTTAGCAGGAAAATTGGAATCACTCCGTTCCGGCTCTGGGTATTATTCAATATTTTTTGTTTGTTTTAAAGCTCTGAATCAGGGCTAACTTTTCATCAGACGGATTTTTGATACATTTCTCCTGGGCTGAGAAAAGTGGGATTTACTGTCGTCGGATCACCGTTTTTTATGCTTATTTTAAGACATGTCTACCAAAATATTCATAAAAAATCAATAATATATAATTTAAAAATTCTGTCTGATGAAAAGTTGCGTACTGACATTGGCTTTAATTTGAAACCACTCCGAACCCTGTACCTTGTATTATGACGGAGTGATGTCCATTCTCATGAAGGCCAAAAATGACCTATGATTCAGCTGAAACTCCGGTCTAGTAAGACCAATCTCGCTGAAATTTTTACCAGAGACATATCTCTTCAGGATCACCCATCCCTGAAATTTTCAGCTCAAAAGACCCATTCTAAGTGGGAAATCATTTCTGAGGGGGGGGGGGGGGCCTTAACCGAACCATTAGGGCCAATGTCGCTCACTAAAAGCTAAACATTTCACCGCGCACAACTGATTGCAGAAGATGAGCATCACATGAGGCAAAAACAACTTTAATTGAAAGAGCTTAGACAGTTCAAATCAACACTTGCAGCTTTATCCACGCAATCTGACAGCAGACGAAAAGGAAAAAAACGGATTCATAAACTAAAACCAACTCACCATCACTTGTTTAACAAGATCCACCGAAACCATAGAAACGATTTTGAATTTTTGCTCACATGTTCGAATTCAGCACGACACTAGGATTAACATCAAAAGAGCCTAGAATGACATATAACAATGAAAATCAATACTCCCATTATGCAATCGAACTCAGCATTAGTTATCTCAACACACGAATAAAAAACAAATATGAAAATTGTTTTCTAATATTACCATTAAAAAACCTTGAAATACCATACTCTGACAGGTGAACCTAAACAAGACATATACTTTTTTTAATTTATGAAACTAATCCGGACTCACCCTTCGTTATTCTATCACATGAATCTAGAACAAGGTACATCAATCTTGTATCTTATAGCTTAATTTAAGTCGAACTTACCATGATTTATAATACAACAAAAACCTATAAAATAGACATGAATAATGTTTTCTGTTAATTAATTAATATCGAACTCACCAGTATTCATTCTATCATGTGAACCTGAAACAATTGATATAAATTTAATTTCTTATTTATTGGTTTAAATTCAACTCACCATTCTTTTATTCTATCACATGAATCTAAAGCAAGGGAAAGAATATTCTTTCTTATTACTTAATTTATATCGAACTCACCATTATTTATTGTATCGCAAAAACTAAAAAAAGGGATATGGATAATGTTTCATCTTAATTGATTAATATCGAACTCACCAGTATTTAATTGTTTATGTGAACCTGAAATAAGAAAAAGAAATAATACTTTTAATTTATAGGTTTTAACTCAACTCACCATTTTTTTAAATTTAATCACTTTAATCTAAAATAGAGAGTATCAGTATTGTTTTCTATTAATTAGTAAATATCTAACTCACCATCATTTCTTGTATCGCAAACGCCTAAAAAAGAAATATGAACAATATTTTCTATTAATTAATCAGTATTGAACTCGCCAGTACTCATTTTATCATGTGAACCTGAAACAATTGATATTAATTTAATTTCTTATTTATTGGTTTAAATTCAACTCACCATTCTTTTATTCTATCATATGAATCTAAAGCAAGAGAAAGAATATTCTTTCTTATTACTTAATTTATATCGAACTCACCATTATCTATTATATCACAAAAACCTAAAAAAAAATATGTGAAATATGTTTTCTGTTAATTAATTAATAAATATCGAACTTACCAGTATTCATTTTATCATGCGAACCTGAAAAAGAGCTGTTAGCGCAATCCTTTGTGGGATTAAAAATGTGAAACACAATGGATCTGTTGTTACTAATTAAATGGAAATCGTTTTGTTCCATTTCTTTGCAATACATTTGTACCTAACCGTTTATCTGATGCTTTAGAACTACAGTTTATCTGTCACGGTCTTTCATGGATAGGGGGATTCTCTGACACGGTCTGTGGTGGACCCAGACGCTGTCTGTCACGATCTATGATGGGTCCAAAACCTTTCCGTCACGGTCTGTGATGGGTCCAAACCCTGTCTGTCACTGTCTGTGATGGGTGTAGACCCTGTCTACCGTGGTCTGTGATGGGCCCAAAGCCTGTCGGTCACGGTCTGCGATGGGTCCAGACCCTGTCTGTCACGGTCTGTGATGGGTCCAAAATCTGTCTGTCATGGTCTGTGATGGATCCAAAGCCTGTCTATCACGGTCTGTGGGAGGGGGGGAGTGTATGCAAATTCCTATCCCTAAACACTTGAACACTCCTTTCAGATCGTGTTTCACAAGAAGATATAAATAATACTTTTAGGTTTTAGGTTTTAATCCAACTTACCATTCATTTATTCTATCACATGAATCTAAAACAAGAGAAAGGCTATTCTTTCTTATTACTTAATTTATATCAAACTCACCATGATTTATTGTATGAAAAAAATCTAAAAAAGAGATACGTATAATGTGATGTATTAATTAATTAATACCGAACTCATCAGTATTAACTTTATCATGTGAATCTGAGACAAGTGGTAGAAATATAAGTTCTAATGTATAAGCTTAAGTCGAACTCACCACTCTTTTAGTTCTATCACATAACTCTAAACTAAGAGATATCAATATTGCTTTCTAATAAGTAATTTTATCGAACTCACTGTGATTTATTATATGGGAAAAACCTAAAAAATAATATATTAGTAATATTCTCTATTATTTATTTAATAATGAATTCACCAGCACCCATTTTATCATTTGAACCTGAAACGAGAGATATAAATATAATTCCTAGTTTATAGGATTAAATCGAACTCACCATTATTTTATTGTATCACATGAATATAAAACAAGAGATATTAATATTGTTTCGTATTATTTGATTTATATCGAAATCACCATGATTTTTTTGTGTCACAAACACCTAAAAAATAAATATGAATAATATTCTTTATTAATTGATTAATATCGAACTCATCAATATGTACTTGATCATATGAACCTGAAATAAGAGATAAAAATAATTCTTTTAGTTTATAGGCTTAAATAGAACTCATGTTTTTTTTTTCTATCACATGAATCCACAACTAAAGATATGAATTTTGTTTACTATGAAGTAATTTATACCGAACACATCATTATTTATTGTGTCGCAAAAACCTGGAAAATTGATGTCTTCTTTTAGATTCATGTTATAGAACAAAAAGGTGAGCTCGATTCAA